TAAGTAAACTAGACCAAGACGGAGTCAGCACAAGAAGGGTAAATAAAGTTTCCATTGCGTTTATGATGATTGGCAGGAGCAAAACTCTAGCAACATGGTTGCAATCCAGATATGATTATGACAAACATCACAAACGTCAAAACAGGGAGGGTTGCGATAAAGTTCAAACGACGTCCAGGAGTCAAATTAAAGAAAAACGAGCGAAGAAACCGTGATAGAAAGAAGTGAAAGAAAAAGAAATTACATGTTTTCACGGAAAAATTTAAGGACATCATTTCAAATTGATTTTTTTTTTCATGATTAAATTTTTAACCCAAATAGAATAATCAAAGAAATATAAAATTTCATTTTAATGTAAATGTGTCTATCGAATAAACTTAAATCTAAAAAGGGAGCGAGTTGTAGTATTGCAGATACTACACTTAACTTATGCTGTAACTTAGTTTTCTAATATCTTATTTATCCCTCATATTTCAATAATTTTTCCATGATTGGACTCAAATTTGTTAACTTTGGCCTCGATATTGAAAACAAATATGTCTCCAGTTAGGCGGACTAGTTTACTGTCTTGCCTTGAAGAGCAGAACATCGCGGCGACAAAGCTCCCAGTCCTTTTGCACTCCTAACAAAAGATTTTGAATTTTTAATAAAGTAATGTAGGAGCAACACTGATAAATTGCCCTGGTTTTTTAATTTATTGATTTTTTATGCTAAAAAATCAATAAGTTGAAAATGTCAATTTCATCAAGAGTATAAAAAAGAGGAAACCGAAGTTTGAAGTCTAGATTCTAAGTGCAGATTTGTCTCAGCCAAAGAGTTGAGAAACAGTTTAACCTAAATCTTCAGAATTGTTACTTTCCCCACTCGCTCATTCAGATTAAATTATCTTCTTTATCTTCTTATTTATCACAAAACCCCAAACCCTTTTTGGTATTTAAGACAGTTGTTCATCCATTTATAACTCATTTACATTCATTTAATCAACCCTTTCATTCTATCTGATTATATAAATGTCATTTTAAATCTAGGGCAGTCGATACCAACGTTTTTTAAAGTAAAAGTCGAAAAATTTAGAAGGGACGCCGTAACACTAAACGGTTTGCGGTAAAACAAACTTTTGACTGACGTTTGCTCTCTGTAGCTCTGATAGATATGGTTCTTAAGTACAAAATTTTATTCAAGTTTCGAAACAAAGCAATAACTGAAGTAAATCAATTTTGTTAGGTTTTGATTGATTTCGCAACTCTTGTTTCCACCGTAAAAACGCATTTAAATCTATGCTAGATCGAGCAGCGTATCTTTTGAGTCGATCGGGGTTGTGTTTGTATGAATCTATTTAGTGGTCGACCATATCAATCCGGCAGCTTTTTTCGAGTCCGCCCTCGTAAAATTTCAAAATAAAGCTGTTCAAACATTGTTCACATAGCAAATTGCATTAAGGAAATGTTGTACGACTTTGCTCACCTATGTTCACGCTGACACGTTTTGATGCAGTTTATAAAATGAAAAGTTCTTTTAAATAGGTTTTCATATATTGAATTTCAGAAAAACTCAAGGGGGGAACTGGAAAGAGCCTTATTAGAAAATTGACGGAATATTTGTGCTCGGGTGGTTTTTTTTCTCCAGACAAATTTTCCCGCGGGCTTTGTTTGAACATCCCGGGTCGAGGTTGGCGACCTATGTTGCAAACATTGCGACTCAAAATGAGTATGTTGCGACCACTGCCACCCAAATCAGGACATGGAGCGACCATTGCGACTCAAAATGGGTAATGGTGCGACTTTGCTCGGCCGAAGAGTTTTTATGCGACTTTGCGCGACCCAAAAAAGGCATGGGTATGTAGCGATTTTGCGCAAGCTTGCGCGCAAAATGGGTATGTTGCGTTTTTGAGCGACCCATTTTTAGCTATGTTGTGACTTTACTCGACCCATGTAGCGAATTTGCTCGACTCAAGCCTCGTGCGGAAGTACGACATTTCGGTCGCAGAAAGACCATTTCTGCGACCCACTTCGGTCGCAGCTTGAGTCGCAGACCTCGGTCCGGGATGAATCTATTTTCTGATCGCGACGATTTTTTGATTTCGACTTATATGTCGAATTGTTAGAAGGCCCCCAGCTTGCAATATATCTTGCGCTCGTGATGATCATCTTGTGCAGACCTGGAAGTCTTCAGTTTAGATTAGATACGTCTTCTGAGTGGTTTCCGTTTGTAGGACAAAAGATTTAAGACAAAGAATCTATTTACGCCCGTGATAATCATTTGCATTTCAACCTTTTTGCTGAATTAAAAATCGCAAAATCTTTCGAAACGATCACAGATTTCTCAATCCTGCCTCACTTCACGGCATTGAATTTTAGATCAAAAGAGGCCAAATTATCTAAACTTTCTAGATCCATCAATTGTTAAATACTGAAAACCCCACAAAAACGGTATTTTTCGATGAAAACGTTAAATAGTTCTGAATTTTCTTCTAAATTTCTTGTTATTATCTTCAATGTTTCTGAAAACTATGAGAAATGAATTGATCCAATTTTAGTTCATCGAAAAGCTAAAAATGTTTTCTTGCTTATCCCAGTTCCAATTTTGCAAAAAGATATTGTGGTTGCGCAGAAATAGTCATTTATTTTTTAAAAACGTGCCTTTTTAAACGCAATTTTCTGTATTTTCTATAGCACTGAAATCGTTTTCGTTCCGGTGTAGCTCTGTACTATAAATACTGAGCGCAAATTTTATGCATTATCATTTCGTTCAACCGCAAATTGCAGTCAAATTGAGTTAACAATTCCAGCTTAACCAGTCAATTCAAAACTGGAAATCATGCCTGCCAAGAAAGCCACCGCCGCAGCTTCACCCAAAAAGAAGGCCCCCTCCCCCAAGAAAACAACCGGCGAAACTGCGCACCCCCCTTTCACGGCGATGATCAAGAAAGCCGTGAAAGAACTCAACGAGAAAGGAGGCTCCAGCAAAACTGCCATCATGAAATACCTCAATGCTAATTACAAAGTGGAGGGCAAATCAGCTGATACTTATGTCCGAAGCGCTCTGAGAAAAATGGTAGCCAAAAACGAACTGGTCCATGCTTCAGTCAAGACCCATGGAGCAAGTGGGAGCTTCAAACTACCCGGAAAAGAGCCAGTTGCAAAGAAAACCGCCAAAAAGACAAGCCCTAAAAAGAAATCTCCGTCTCCGCTCAAAAAGTCAGCGAAGAAAGCAGCGGCACCGAAAATAGAGACGCCAGTCGAACCACAAGTAGAGACGCCAGCTCAAGTTTCTCCACCCAAGAAAGTAGAGAAAAGTCCAGCTCCAGCGTTATCCAAGAAACTCGTGAAAAGTCCAGCGAAGGTGGCACCGAAGTCTCCGGCCAAGAGAGGACGTGGCCGACCATCAAAGAAATGAATCGAGCTGAAGTTTGGATCAGATCGACAAAGAGAAAAGATTCAATCTTCCTTCAAAACTGAACATGCAATATTAGAAACTGAAATTTAGCCAAATGGAGATTTATATTTTTCTCATTGATGATTTCTATTTTTTCACGACTGATTTATTTGAGTTTCTAAACTTTCATTTTATGCAATACGCTTTACTTATTTTCAAATTTTAAATATTGAAATGAAATTTTGCTTTTGTACTGATACAATTTTTGTCAATGAGCTAAGGAAAAAAAGCACGTCTCGACAAGGTTTAGAGGTTTAAACGGTTTTCGATATATTGAAAAAAAAGTTTCAACCAGAAAATGACCGATAAAACATGGTAGTATAAAGATGGTAGTTTGGTAGTTAGGCCTTCACACAATATTAAAGCAAATATGAAAAAGAGTTACTGAAATTGGTACAAAGTACGATAGATGACTTCACATATGCCTAACAGCCGTTAAATAGTTATTTATAGGGACGGCAATTTGTTAGTGGGTACCGAAGAGAAATCTTTCAAAATATCGAAAAGTATGTTACTGACCGCTACCGCCCTCTAAACTGTTTCCTTACCTTTAAAACAGTAGACTTTTGAACAGGCTTTTGGCTTCTGACTTCTTAATTTTTCAAATAAGTAAGACGATCAAATCGTTAGGTAAAATGCTATGTGAAAGTCACTTGAAATCACAATCCTATTTTTTGGTAGCAAAGACTGACGAGAGCCAAGAAATTCACAGACGAGCGCTTAGGAGGGAGGGGTGGCTGTTGTTGAATCTTATAGTGAATGGCACTCATTGAAAGTTCAAATTTTTAAAAAGTTTTTTGTGCTGCCTGAGATTAAAGGACCACAAAACTGATTTTGTTTGTCGTGCACTCCAGCCTCCAGAAGTGTTTTGAAGCCAATAAAAGACGCCCTTTAAAAGCCAGTCGGCAGAAATTGAGCTCACCAAAAACAAAAAACCGGAGGATTCATTGTATAACATATGCAAACTATGCCGTTGAGAGGTCGTTTTAAGTTTTTTTTAGTTATTTACCCAATCCCAAACTTCTTTCTATTTACCCCGAGTATTACGAGGCCAAACTGTGCACTGGGTGATAAGCCATGTACTGAAAAGTCACCTACAAGCACCAATAAGGCGCACAATTTTGTGTCTGTTGTATGTTCCTGGATTCCAGAGACACGTTTTTAAACGTTAAAATGTTGGAACGATCAAAGGAAAGGAAATAAAAGAAGAACAAAGGCAGCGTATTTGTTGCGGAATCCGTTTACAATTGACAAAAAGCACAGTTTGGCCCTGTAATGGAAAGCGCCCCCTGCATAATTGACTAGCCCATTTTTTAAAACTAAAATTAGGACCCTCGGAAAAGAAAATAATTGTTTTTTTTACCGTTTTTTTAAACTATTTGAGTTTCTCGAAAACCACACTCTGTAGTCGTAGTTTTTGGGTTCAAACGAAAATACAGCCTGTGTGAATCTCTTCGGTACAAGCAGCTACGCCGAAAAAAGTTTCACGATTAAAGCTATGATTCTTCGAAAATGTTATTTCAAGTGACAAATTTGGCCGGAGTTTAGTAAAATGAATAACTGACCGATGTTGCACATGCAGAGTTTGTCCTGCCAGAGGGGCTTCACTCTGGCATGCACTCTGAATAGGGAGATGGAGGAGTAGGGGAATACGATGGTCAGCTGCTGGCTCCCACTGCCCCCATTCACTCTGGGGAAGGCCAGGGGAATGTCGCTGATCTCAAACAGGAACTCGTCCTCGTTCTGAACAAATCGGAATTAAAACGGTTGCAACCCTTCGTTCAAAAGACTATGCAAGCTTTTTTTGTCAAAATCATCAGACAAAGCTTTTCAAAAAATGTTTGAAAACGCTTTTCATTTTGAAGAAAATTTTAGGCAATAGAAAATTTGGTTTATGTTTCTGATTTATTACAAAAAAAGAAGTTCTATCTTTTCTAAAATAGTTAAACTGGCTTTTTTGATGTGTTGCCGCTGAATGAAAAATACTAACTTTTCTAAACCAGTTTTTTAATTTGTTAAAAAAACTCAGATGCGGGCCAGAAATTTCTTATTGGCTTTGCCATCTGAACTCGGGAAGATACAACGACTGACCAATGGGAGGAACTTGAGAGGCACGCCGACTTGTGAGACCCATAATTCTTCCCCCTCGTTGAAGCGGACAGAAGCGCCGAAGTAGTAGCAGCAGCCAGCTGTGAATAGATCGTGTTTGGCCACCGACATGCGCACTTGCATCTGGAACATTTTCCCCGGCTGCCAGTTCACTTGGCCCAGCTCAATGTTCATAGTGTCTGTCTGCACACAAACACACACACACAAACAAGAAATAAAAGGAATCGAAACTACTCAACATGCGCATATTACCATCAGTTCTTGCAGTTTGATTCGTTTGTTACTCATACATGCATGTGGGAAGTCCCTCAAAACTGTTTTTTTTCTGGCTAACGGTACTCCACTTTTAACATAACTAGTAAAGATTATAATCTTCGATTTCTATATACTGCATGCGATCTGACAAGTAGGAATTTAAAATCTTATTTACTGTGTATATTTAGGGGATTGCTTCAATAAGTTCGTTCTCTCTTTCCTAACGACACCGCAAAGTGGTCCCTTGGGTAAAGAATTCAGCGGGGCGACCGAGATTCACTACTATCGACAATCCCGAAAGGGTTATTTGGTGGCAAATATTCTGTATTGTATTATGTTGCTTGCCCCTTCTTGCGTACTGCTCTCAGGCTGTCTTGTCTATTCGATACAATCGCAAAAATTTCCAATTGTAATTTAATTCAGATGAGTATACGTCTAATTACAGAAGGCTCTGAGTGACCAGGTTGTAATCTAATAATCAAATCAAAGGAAAGGTTCCGCAATTTATCGGCCAAATTGCCTAATTGCAATTAACTTCCAACTAACTCCACTAACACTAAACTGTTCTCTCTCTCTCTCTCTCTCTCTCTCTCTAGAGAATCTCTGATGAGAAACAACTACATACTGTTTCTGCTATAATTGTTCTCTTACTCTGAGAATTAACTACTTGACTAACTAAAAATAATTGTTCTCTCTAACTAACTGAGAACCAACTATACTCTCTCTCAGTATCATTTGTTCTCTTCTCTGACTGAGAACCAACTACTCTTAATTGTAGCTAACAACTGTTCTGACTCTGAAAGGCTCTCCGGCATCCTCCAGTTCCTTATTTTTCTTTACACCTAGTTTTAGTTAGGTCACGTCATTCCCTATCAGTCTTGACTTCCGCTCAAGTCACCCGTCCGCCCATGTTTCCTCCCCCTGTCAACTCTGCCACGTGACAAGTTCGGTTTCTTTTATCAACCTTTTCACGCTTACTAGATACCCGGTATGCGGCAGGTGTCACAATTTGACCAAGCAAACAAATATCATACGATTCTAATCAGCTAATTCCTGACCTCAGCGACTTCAGCCCTTGTGTCTGTTGTATGTTCCTGGATTCCAGAGACACGTTTTTAAACGTGTTAAAATGTTGGAACGACCAAAGGAAACGTAATAAAAGAAGAACAAAGGCAGCGTATTTGTTGCGGAATCCGTTTACAATTGACAAAAAGCACAGTTTGGCCCTGTAATGGAAAGCGCCCCCTGCATAATTGACTAGCCCATTTTTTAAAACTAAAATTAAGACCCTCGGAAAAGAAAATAATTGTTTTTTTTTACCGTTTTTTTAAAACTATTTGAGTTTCTCGAAAACCACACTCTGTAGTCGTAGTTTTTGGGTTCAAACGAAAATACAGCCAAGTGAATCTCTTCGGTACAAGCAGCTACGCCGAAAAAAGTTTCACGATTAAAGCTATGATTCTTCGAAAATGTTATTTCAAGTGACAAATTTGGCCGGAGTTTAGTAAAGTGAATAACTGACCGATGTTGCACATGCAGAGTTTGTCCTGCCAGAGGGGCTTCACTCTGGCATGCACTCTGAATAGGGAGATGGAGGAGTAGGGGAATACGATGGTCAGCTGCTGGCTCCCACTGCCCCCATTCACTCTGGGGAAGGCCAGGGGAATGTCGCTGATCTCAAACAGGAACTCGTTCTCGTTCTGAACAAATCGGAATTAAAACGGTTGCAACCCTTCGTTCAAAAGACTATACAAGCTTTTTTTGTCAAAATCATTAGACAAAGCTTTTCAAAAATTGTTTGAAAACGCTTTTCATTTTGAAGAAAATTTTAGGCAATAGAAAATTTGGTTTATGTTTCTGATTTATTACAAAAAAAGAAGTTCTATATTTTCTAAAATAGTTAAACTGGCTTTTTTGATGTGTTGCCGCTGAATGAAAAATACTAACTTTTCTAAACCAATTTTTTAACTTGTTAAAAAAACTCAGATACGGGCCAGAAATTGCTTATTGGCTTTGCCATCTGAACTCGGGAAGATACAACGACTGACCAATGGGAGGAACTTGAGAGGCACGCCGACTTGTGAGACCCATAATTCTTCCCCCTCGTTGAAGCGGACAGAAGCGCCGAAGTAGTAGCAGCAGCCAGCTGTGAATAGATCGTGTTTGGCCACCGACATGCGCACTTGCATCTGGAACATTTTCCCCGGCTGCCAGTTCACTTGGCCCAGCTCAATGTTCATAGTGTCTGTCTGCACACAAACACACACACACAAACAAGAAATAAAAGGAATCGAAACTACTCAACATGCGCATATTACCATCAGTTCTTGCAGTTTGATTTGTTTGTTACTCATACATGCATGTGGGAAATCCCTCAAAACTGTTTTTTTTCTGTTATATGGCTAACGGTACTCCACTTTTAACATAACTAGTAAAGATTATAATCTTCGATTTCTATATACTGCATGCGATCTGACAAGTAGGAATTTAAAATCTTATTTACTGTGTATATTTAGGGGATTGCTTCAATAAGTTCGTTCTCTCTTTCCTAACGACACCGCAAAGTGGTCCCTTGGGTAAAGAATTCAGCGGGGCGACCGAGATTCACTACTATCGACAATCCCGAAAGGGTTAGTTGGTGGCAAATATTCTGTATTGTATTATGTTGCTTGCCCCTTCTTGCGTACTGCTCTCAGGCTGTCTTGTCTATTCAATACAATCGCAAAAATTTCCAATTGTAATTTAATTCAGATGAGTATACGTCTAATTACAGAAGGCTCTGAGTGACCAGGTTGTAATCTAATAATCAAATCAAAGGAAAGGTTCCGCAATTTATCGGCCAAATTGCCTAATTGCAATTAACTTCCAACTAACTCCACTAACACTAAACTGTTCTCTCTCTCTCTCTCTCTCTAGAGAATCTCTGATGAGAAACAACTACATACTGTTTCTGCTATAATTGTTCTCTTACTCTGAGAATTAACTACTTGACTAACTAAAAATAATTGTTCTCTCTAACTAACTGAGAACCAACTATACTCTCTCTCAGTATCATTTGTTTTCTTCTCTGACTGAGAACCAACTACTCTTAATTGTAGCGAACAACTGTTCTGACTCTGAAAGGCTCTCCGGCAACCTCCGATTCCTTATTTTTCTTTACACCTAGTTTTAGTTAGGTCACTTCATTCCCTATCAGGCTTGACTTCCGCTCAAGTCACCCATCCGCCCATGTTTCCTCCCCCTGTCAACTCTGCCACGTGACAAGTTCGGTTTCTTTTATCAACCTTTTCACGCTTACTAGATACCCGGTATGCGGCAGGTGTCACAATTTGACCAAGCAAACAAATGTCATACGATTCTAATCAGCTAATTCCTGACCTCAGCGACTTCACCCCTAGAGTTCAACTCAACCTCCACACCATGCTATGTTTACTCAGTGACCCTCCCAAAGTCTTTATTTTAATTATCCTGTTAACGTTCCGACCTCGCAAGGGTAGGGGAGACCCTTTTCTTGGGTAGCGAATTCATTCCAAGCATCTAAAATTTCGATCTGTACTCTATTCCAACCCCGACCTTCTAGCTATCAGGGGATCGTAGTTTGTCTATGAGGGTCAAATTAAACTAAAAAGTCACCTCCGGGAAGTCAAGTAAATTCCCCGTCCGTTCCTACTATTTAGGAGACCTAATTCTCATGCTGCGGTCCTATTATCAATTTCCTCTGGGACTACTTGTCCTTAGTCTAGTTCAGTTGCTATTATTAGATCATTCGCCAAGCTAAACTGACCCCAATGTTTACCAAATCCATTTTGAATTAACTCTACTACCTCAAGGTTTCAATATAAAATTTTATCTATATCCCCTTCTGCTCTAGTTCCCAATACATAAAGTTCCTCCCAATTTTTTAGCAAGTCGATTAAATCTCATTTCCAGGGAGTTGGATTAGGAAATACTCCACTTTCCGGTGTCAATCTCAAAATTTTCTATGCAATTATAAGGTCAGAATGCCGAAAGGTCAACCTAAGGTCACCAAGGTTTAACCTGGGTCAAACTTCCGTATTTGCGTTCAGAACCCCATGAGGGTCCTAACTACCAAGTTCCATCCATATCCCATTAATACTTCACTAGTTATTCCGTTTAACTTTTAGTCCATTATCACTTTTTCCGGAAAAAGGCTATTAACACGGGAAGGAGGCGCCGGAGGATTTTCTCTCGCAAGGGGTCTTTTTTTGGGGTTCGTATCTTATATCGATTGCTGCAATAAAATTATTATGCCACCGTTCATTGTTTTACGTTAATTGCCTATTTCCTGTCTAAGGGGGTGTTTTTTCACGCGTCAATAACTTCCGGATCAACCACCGGATTTGGTTCAACTTACAACACAAGACGTATCGTGCCACTACCTATCATCCTTCCAAGTTTTAGCGTTCATTGCAGGCCGAGAAACGACTTCTGGAACTTAGGGGTGGGTTTGCTGACTTAGGACATAAAACCGGAAATGGGGGTCGTAGGGGTCTGGGGTTCCAAACTTGAGCCCAAAACCGCCGCTAGCTTCCGAGTTCTGATAGGACCATTTACACTTCCGGGGAACGTTATCACTTACCCCCAAGGGTCTGAGGGGTCCCGTTTTTTGTATTGCTCCTCTGAATTTCATAACATTAGCTTCCTAATTAGGGGGGGGGGTTCGCCGATTTCGTCAATTTTTTTTCTGCCATAGGAGGGTCAATATATTCGAAGAAAAAACTATTTTGAACGCGACCCTTTGTTTGCTGTACTACTTAACTTAATGACGAATCAATCTTACGCTCAGGTTACTATAGCATGTAATACAGTATAATCACGAACTCTACAAACTGGTCCTCGAATGCTCATTTTATGCAGTTTGTGAAGTAATATGGAGTGATTCTCCATATCAAAAGCTTTATTCAAATCAATTAAAAGGTAATTATTAGTTCTTCTTTTATTTCCACCATGAGCGATACAATTGCATCTTTTGTGCCTCGATTCTCCCGGAAAGCAAAAATGCCTATGTGACAGCCAGTCAAACTTTTAAACGAACTTTTTCATGCGATTATATATTAGTCGTTCAAACACGTTCTCTGGCAAATTTGAAACTGAACTGAAAATTTTCGGCTTCCCCTTACATTGGTATAATTTATAATTTGCGCAAATTTTAAACATTTAGGTAAAATACTTTCGAGAAACCTCATAATTTAGACGATTTAAACTGAGAAATTACACTCAACGAGATTGAGGTTCAGTTAAAGCAATTTTGAGCTGCTGTTTATCTCAAATATTTTTCATGAGCCAAGAAAATTGATATTCCTTTAACAAACAGGATCGTTTTTTTGAAGTTTTTATTCACTCGCATGTGTGAAAATTTTACTCGATTCATACGAGAGAAATGTGAGGATCCGAGTGACGATTCGGAAGTCGAGTAATGATCCATACTCATGGAATCGACCTTTCCCTCTACACTAATTAATTTGGTTTTTCCAAATAGATTCGACCCCCACCCCTCCTTTGAGCTAACTTTATAATTCGAGTCAGTCCACTAACATATGGTTCGATCTCATCTAGACTGAACAATTCCCAGGAGACCACTGGAACGACACTGTATATCTCTGGGTCTCCACAGAACACCAGAGTGCTGTAGCCGTTGATGAAGCTACTCAGCTGGATAGTCACCACGTCCAACACTGGCACAGCCGGCTCCAGAGTCAGCTGGTAGTAGATCTAACAAAGAAGAAATAGGACAACTGACCAGCCTTCCCTCACCTTCGAAGTGTCAAACGATGATGGGTCACATAGCCGAACACTCGGAGCGCCAAAAAAATCTTTGTTCCCATATTGCCGAAAGTTCATCGTAAAAATAGCAAGAAAAACTACAAAGTTACCGAGTGATTACACTCAGTATTGGCAAATAGCGACCGTTTACATTCGGCACTGGAAGTATTATAGCTTTGGCTAAATTCTAAATTGGGCTGTTTTCATTGCTTTACGAGACGATGGAAAGCACATCTAGTGATCTTAAATAAAAGTTCTATAAAATGTTAGAATCTTTTTTCAAATGACGCCTCTGCAAAACAAAAATATTTTGAAATGATTAAATTCATGACATGAAAAAGTTGACAAGAAATACTGATTATGGAGTGTCTCTGTCTATCCTTTCAATCTTTAGGTCAGTTCTTTGAAACGTGCATCTACCCTTTTGGGTTTCATCTGATTTCAAATTATATTATCTTTCCAAATTATATACAGCTCGAGAACACGAGCAACACATCAAGAGATCAAACGACTTCGATTCGCAAAGCGACTTCGAAAGTATCCGAATAAAATGTACCTGATCTCCAATCGCATAGCCGTCTTCAGGTACAGGGTCCTCAATTGACCTGATCAGCTGAAAACTGTCTTTGTTCAGACCCAGGTCATCCACTGAATAATGCGCAAATGAGCCGAAGTTGAAATAACCGAAAAAGAAAATTATCGTAAAAATTTTCGCAAGTTTCGGCATTTTTCACTATTTTTGCTTCTAAAAACTATTTTTCACTATTTTTGAAACTAAAATAGAAGAAGCAAATGTAAAATAAAATGGCTGGTATTATTTTTAACCACATGGAGGGCAAAATTAGAAGCAGAATATTTGGTTTTCCATGTTGGTTTTAAACAAATTTTTCTCTCGAAGAATTAAGTAATTGTTCTGGACGTGCGTTTTTTGTTAAGTAAACAAAAATCAATAGTTCAAATTATCGCAGATGTTCTTTTTTGGGAAAAAAATCATTGGATGACAAATTTCAACTGACACACGTGATCGCAACTTCAAACAAGATTAATAATTCAATTTTTGAAATCAGGTGCTCGATAATTAAGTTGACTTTTACCAGTTTTTACAAAAAATATTGAAAAACGAACAGATGCAAAAATTCACCGTATCAGTAAGAATCGAAAATATTTCATATGTTTCTGCTGTTGCCAATATTGACACAGTAAATTTATCTGTAAGACATAATAGTGATGATTATCAAGCTTCAAAGAAATCAGTAGCCAGCCTACTGCAGAAATAACAGAAAATTATAAATGACTTCGTTTAATTTTTTTCGCTAAACGCTACCAGTATTTGTTTTCTAATTTCAGTCTTTCTAAACTAAAATATAAGCAATTTTATTCAATTTAAGTGTATGTTTGTTGTCTAAGAATCACCTATAAAATCAGGTCATCAATCTTCCTGTTTTATGAAAGATTGTACATGTCGAGACTAGCCACACATCTAAAAAACAAGACTGCTCTTATCAAGGCAAGGCCCTGAATGTTTCGACTGCATTAAAAATTGATGAAAGCAAAAAAAAATGAAAAACTAAAGCTTTTGTAGGTTTTTTCGAAAATCATTCCTCACCCGCTATGTAGAGTTCAAACTATTCTAATTCGCATATAGCAAAGTTTTAAATGGGCCCAATAGCAAGCCTCACTTCATTTTTGAACGAATTCTAAGATTTAAACTCCGTCACACGTTAATAGCACGAAATATATTGCGCATGTTAACTGTCCCAAATTGGAAAAATAGGGAACTTATAAACCCCCATAACGTCACAAAAATGATCACAGGTGAAATAACTTTCTAAATTTAAGCTCATGACTACAATATATTTTGAAAGATCTAAAAAATTTCCGTCAACAATTGCTAGTTAAAAAGTTAAATTTTTCCTGTCGGAAAAAAACACCCGAGTTCACATATTCTGTCACTTTCTTCAAACATTGGAACAATAAAGTTTTAAGCATTTCAACAGGAATTAACAAACTATTGAAAACTGAAAAAAGTTTAACAAATTATTGTTCCAATTTTTGAAGAAAGTGAAGGAATATTTGTGCTCGGGGTGGCGACTAACTTCAAAATGTAAACCAGTCAATTTCGACGGGACTTTTTATAACATCTGAAAACTGTTGATATCTTGAGCTCAATTAAAAAAAAATAGGACGCGTGATTTTTTTTTGGAAAGCTTAAGATTTGGCGAAATGAAAGTTGACGAAATGGGAGTAATTAACGCGCGATACAATTCGTACTTTTAAGCAGCAATTTATTCCGACTCAAAAGAAGTTCAAAATTGAATTGAGGCATGCTAGTTGGGGGCGCACCCAGAAAAGAGCCAGTTGCAAAGAAAACCGCCAAGAAGACAAGCCCCATGAAGAAATCTCCGTCTCCGCTCAAAAAATCTGCGAAGAAAACAGCGACACCGAAAATTGTCGAACCCCAAGTAGAGACGCCAGCTCAAGTTTATCCACCCAAGAAATTGGAGAAAAGTCCAGCTCCAGTTTTCTCCAAGAAAGTCGTCAAAAGTCCAGCGAACGTGTCAGCGAAGTCTCCGGCCAAGAGAGGACGTGGCCGGCTAAAATATAAGTCAAATTTTTCCTGTAGGAAAAAAAACACCCGAATTCAAATATTCCGTCACTTTCTTCAAACATTGGAACAGTAAAGTTTTAAGCATTTCAACAGGACTTAACAAAAAATTGAAAATTGAAAAAAGTTTAACAAATTATTGTTCCACTTTTTGAAGAAAGTGAAGGAATATTTGTGCTCGGGGTGGCGACTAACTTCAAAATGTAAACCAGTCAATTTCGACGGGTCTTTTTATAACATCTGAAAACTGTTGATGTCTTGAGCTCAAATAAAAAAAAATTAGACACGTGATTTTTTTTCGGAAAGCTTAAGATTTGGCGAATTGAAAGTTGACGAAATGGGAGTAATTAACGCGCGATACAATTTGAACTTTTAAGCAGCCATTTATTCCGACTCAAAAGAAGTTCAAAATTGAATTGAGGCATGCTAGTTGGGGGCGCACCCAGAAAAGAGCCAGTTGCAAAGAAAACCGCCAAGATTACAAGCCCCAAGAAGAAATCTCCGTCTCCGCTCAAAAAGTCTGCGAAGAAAACAGCGACACCGAAAATTGTCGAACCCCAAGTAGAAACGCCAGCTCAAGTTTCTCCACCCAAGAAAGTGGAGAAAAGTCCAGCTCCAGTTTTATCCAAGAAAGTCGTCAAAAGTCCAGCGAACGTGTCAGCGAAGTCTCCGGCCAAGAGAGGACGTGGCCGGCTAAAATATAAGTCAAATTTTTCCTGTAGGAAAAAAATAACCGACTTAAAATATTCCGTCACTTTCTTCAAACATTGGAACAATAAAGTCTTAAGCACTTCAACAGGAATTAACAAAATATCGAAAACACAAAAACTACAAAATTTTAACAAATTATTGTTCCAACTTTTGAAGAAAGTGAAGGAATATTTATGCTCGGGGTGGTGACTAACTTCAAAATGTCAACCAGTCAATTTCGACGGGACTTTTTATCTGAAAACTGTTGATGTCTTGAGCTAAAATAAAAAAAATTAGACGCGTGATTTTTTTTTCGGAAAGCTTAAGATTTGGCGAAATGAAAGTTGACGAAATGGGAGTAATTATCGCGCGATACAATTCATATTTTTAAGCAGCAATTTATTCCGACTCAAAAGAAGTTCAAAATTGAATTGAGGCATGCTAGTTGGGGGCGCACCCAGAAAAGAGCCAGTTGCAAAGAAAACCGCCAAGAAGACAAGCCCCATGAAGAAATCTCCGTCTCCGCTCAAAAAGTCTGCGAAGAAAACAGCGAAACCGAAAATTGTCGAACCCCAAGTAGAGACGCCAGCTCAAGTTTCTCCACCCAAGAAATTGGAGAAAAGTCCAGCTCCAGTTTTATCCAAGAAAGTCGTCAAAAGTCCAGCGAACGTGTCAGCGAAGTCTCCGGCCAAGAGAGGACGTGGCCGGCTAAAATATAAGTCAAATTTTTCCTGTAGGAAAAAAAACACCCGAATTCAAATATTCCGTCACTTTCTTCAAACACTGGAACAGTAAAGTTTTAAGCAATCTAACAGGAATTAACAAAAAATTTAAAATTGAAAAAAGTTTAACAAATTATTGTTCCAATTTTTGAAGAAAGTGAAGGAATATTTGTGCTCGGGGTGGCGACTAACTTCAAAATGTAAACCAGTCAATTTCGACGGGTCTTTTTATAACATCTGAAAACTGTTGATGTCTTGAGCTCAAATAAAAAAAAATTAGACACGTGATTTTTTTTCGGAAAGCTTAAGATTTGGCGAATTGAAAGTTGACGAAATGGGAGTAATTAACGCTCGATACAATTTGAACTTTTAAGCAGCCTTTTATTCCGACTCAGAAGAAGTTGAAAATTAAATTGAGGCATGCTAGTTGGGGGCGCACCCAGAAAAGAGCCAGTTGCAAAGAAAACCGCCAAGAAGACAAGCCCCAAGAAGAAATCTCCGTCTCCGCTCAAAAAGTCTGCGAAGAAAACAGCGACACCGAAAATTGTCGAACCCCAAGTAGAGACGCCAGCTCAAGTTTCTCCACCCAAGAAAGTGGAGAAAAGTCCAGCTCCAGTTTTATCCAAGAAAGTCGTCAAAAGTCCAGCGAACGTGTCAGCGAAGTCTCCGGCCAAGAGAGGACGTGGCCGGCTAAAATATAAGTCAAATTTTTCCTGTAGGAAAAAAATAACCGAGTTAAAATATTCCGTCACTTTCTTCAAACATTGGAACAATAAAGTCTTAAGCACTTCAACAGGAATTAACAAAATATCGAAAACACAAAAACTACAAAAAAAGTTTAACAAATTATTGTTCCAATTTTTGAAGAAAGTGAAGGAATATTTGTGCTCGGGGTGGTGACTAACTTCAAAATGTCAACCAGTCAATTTCGATGGGACTTTTCATAATATCTGAAAACTGTTGATGTCATGAGCTCAAATAAAAAAATAGACGCATGATTTGTTTTTTCGGAAAGCTTAAGTTTTGGCAAATTGAAAATTGACGAAATTGGAGTAGTTAACGCGCGATATATGTTTCGTACTTTTAAGCAGCAACTTATTCAGACTCAAAAGAAGTTCAAAATTGAAAAGAGGCATGCTAGTTGGGGAGGCACCGACTTGCAGGTGTTCCGGTTAGCCTGCGCAATTACAATAAATACTCAATTTGGTGCGGCACGCATCAGCTTGAGTTATAGATGCAAATGTGAGAAACAAATTCAATTTTCATTGCACTAACCGCGGCTTCTTAAGTGACACGCAAGCAAGTAGGCCGGTCTTTATGCTAGTTATTCTAATTAATATGTTATTATATGTTAAATAGGATTTTTTTCCTTTTCCACCCTTCTCACATAAAAATCAAATTTGTGATGTACCGAGCGGTTTTTCAAGGATAATTATGAAAACAAATATGTTTATCATGGTCTAGTCAATTCGTATTATAATTAGACAATGTCAGCTGAGCATTTACTAGTAAAATTTTGCGGAAAACTTTTTGCACTTATTCCTACTTAAAAGAGCGTATGGGGGATGAATTTTTTTTTTTAAAAAGCAAGTTTTAAAACGTTTCTCCATTTTTTTTTTGAAAATTTCATCATTTTTTATTGTTGAAATCTACTCTATAGACGTTAAAAGAAAAGTTTAATCCGTCCTAGAAATTGTTCCAAATTGAATTGAGGCATGCGTTTTGGTCTCAGTAATACTATGCTATTTGCTAAATAAATCACTTTGTACTTTACATAGCGGGGTGGATGGATGCGGAAAGTTTAGCTATTTGAACGTTTTATCAAATTATTTTTTTTAAAGAGAACACTATTCCATAGGGCTCACAAAAGTCAGTCTGAAAATTCAGGGCTTTGCCCTGATAGGACCAGTCTTGTTATTTTCGTCATGCACACATATGATTATGCTTTTATTTATAATACATCCATGCCCTAAAAATCCTGCTGGCGATCAGTAAATACTGAAACAAAATAACAACAAAGACTTTACTTGTTTGAGAACTGTTTAATCTATACAGTTGCTTCTTTTTAGTTTACAATGCTTTCGCATACAGATTGTGCATTGGTTGTTCAGTTCGGAATTTTGAGCGCTATTTCGACAGAAAAAAGAACGTCTTTTTTAGAATTCTCTTTCTCTGATTTGTGAACGGTGCGTGGTTTCTTAGTGGAACCTTCGTCAAAACAAAGAATTTCAAGTGAAAATTTCTCTAGTACTCGACTGTTCAGGCTTTCGCCTTTATACACGCGAAAGCGCTGTAAACTCAAGTCAAGCTACTATGTAGATTCAAACAGTTCCTAATGTGATTCATTAATTCAAAAAAGTTTTTTAATGGAGGTTGGTAATCTACCCAAGGAACTGTTGGAATTTGTAATTTTCCTTAGTCTACATATCATGTTCCACACTAGCTAGTGAATTAGTTAAATCAGTGGCCGCCTAACTCAAAACTGAGACAGCGAGAAAGTTTTCTTAACTGGTTTTTGAAAACCAAATCACCGCTAAAAGTATTCAAGGTGATAATATGCTATTATATTTGACCACCGATGATTTTTTGAAGTACCTAGAATTTTGAAAAAAACCACCCCCTGTGACATATTTTGTACCCGCTTCGTGGGCGGTCAGAAAAAAATTGAGCGAGCAATTCTGTTTTTAAAAGATCTGTGAAGCACAATGCCCAATTGTGAACTTTTTTGCACTAAACATGTGAAAATAATTCAAAAAATGGGTCAAATAGGCAACAAAGTCTAGTTCTCCTTAAAAAGTACAATGTCATATTTGTTGAATACAATTCAGAAGCGGAAACTATAAACTACAATTGCGGTATGACATAGTTTCCATCCGATTTTAGGCACCTCAAAAATATCAAAAAGAACAAGAATGGTATCAAATTACAGCCTTGACTGTCCTAACTTTGATTTGAAGAAAAATGATTTTAAAAAAGTTTTCTCATTGTCGAGGAAAAGTGGTTCTCTTACTCATACTTGATTACGAAGGGGATTCAATCCCAATCTTATTTTGAATATTAGATAAAAATATAATAATTCAAATGTATGCTACCGTTCGGGGAGAAGGGGGTTTGAATGGGGTTATTAACGAGGTCTGAAAATGTTCCAGTGATAAATATATCAATATAAAGGTGATAAATTTGTTTTGATTTAGATGAGGCGACGTGCAAAAAATTAATTTTTGTTCCGACCATTTGAAGAATGTGGAGAAACATTGTATTAGGATGTATTTTAGTTTTTGTTCCGACCATTTGAAAATTGGGTAGGAAATTTGTATTCGGGTGTGTTTTCATCCACAAATAATCATTGGATAGAGTTGAGTGATATATCATTTTAGTACCTTTTCAGTCGTTCCAACGACATCAAACAATTTCAAACACTTTTCCCGTGTCGAGGAAAGCTGGTTTGAAATTTGATTTTTTGTTCAATTTCGAGTGAGCGAGCAGGCTTACAATAGTTTAATTTGGTAACTTAAAAGCTTACAATTGCTTAGTTGAACCGGCAAAAAATTACTTTTACTCGAGTGAAGTTAGTTTTTTTTTGTACTTTAGTTTGGAAACAAAAACGTCAAAAATTGAAAACAAAGCAAAAAAAACTGAAGTTTTGAAATTTTCTTTTGATTTTTATTCTGTATTTCTAGTCATTTTTGCCAAAAAAATTGTTTTTTAATATGTAACTACGACTGTCGATTACGCCTAGGCTCTAGTTTTTTCAAATCCTTTTATCACACCACGCGGAAAAGAAATAAAATTTGAAAAAAAGTTTTTTTTGTATTTTTTAAGACTATGGTCGGAACATTCTTACAATAACCGACTATACTTGTTTTTTTTTGTTTTGTACGCAAAAGCAGGTACCACAAATAACCATCGGAATGGGTCGGGTGATATATCATAATGAAGCCAATTTAGTCGTGATTCGAACGACATTAAAAAAAATTTTAGTGTCGAGAAAAAACAGTTAGAAATTTTAATTTTTGTCTAACTTGAAGCTAAAATGTTGAGGCTAAGCAGGTTAATAAGTTGAAAGTTGAGGCTAACTTGGGAATCAAAAATTTCAAATTCAAAAATTTGCTTTTTTCAGACTATGGTTAGAACAATCTGTGCTACTTGCGAAGTATCTGGCTATCCTTGTTGTTCCGACTATTGAAAATGGGGAGGAACTTTGGATTCGGGTGTTTTAGTTTTTATTGTTTTCCGCGCAAAATCAGCTAACACAAATAATCATCGGACAGGGTTGAGTGATATGTCATCTGATAAAGCCCTTTCAGTCGTGATTCGAACATTAAAATTTTCAAACAAATTTTCAGTGTCGAGAAAAGCCGGTTTGAAACTTTTGATTTTTGGCCTAATTTCGAGCTAATTAGTAAGATAGTTATTAAATGCAATAGCTTATTTAAGCCTATTTTACTTTTTAAGTCAAGAAAACTTACTTTTACTGAAAAAAAAAGGTAGTAATTAGAGTTTTTAGCGCAATTTTGGTAGCCAAAAATTTGAACATTCAAAAAATTTCAATTTTTTTTTAATTTTTCTAGTCGTTTTTCTTCAAAAACGGTTTATCATTTGAATTATTTTAGTATGGCTCTCAAATATGCCTAAGTTCTATTTTTTCGTTGATTTATCACAACATGAAGAAAAAAAACGACACCAATTTGAGAAAACATTTTTGTATTTTTTAAGACTGTGGTCGGAACATTCTGTGCTATTTGCACAGTAACCGGCTGTCCTTGTTTGAAGTATGTTGACAGCTTCGAAAAGATGTTGTCTTGCATAACCTTTTTTATCTTCAGTGCTTCTAGAGTTGATTTTTTCGTAGGTGAGTAAAAGATCGAGTATCACAAATTTATTCAGAACTAATCGCTATTTATATTTCATTGTAATAGGCACAGGAAAGTAATACAGTAGGTACAGAGAAATTTTGTAGTGTGTATAAAAATACAACGTATCAAAAAAATAAGCTCACATTTTTGCAAAACGTTCATTTTTGTTAAGCTTTTGCTTCGCATTAAGGCATTCGTTGGTGTGATATTTTGTTCGATAGTACTCTCGAAACTTGATATTTGAGACGACGTTTAAGATATATACATTCGGTTTAAAGCGTGGTACAAATTGAAATGAGTCCAAGTTGGCGACAAATCCATTGGAGGCCCGGCTGGTTTCGAACCCGGGAAACCTCGCACGTGAGGGTAGTTGTATATCAGCGGATTGTTCTTAAGCATGTTGGGTGAGCTCATGGTTTGAGTTGGGGTCGGCGGGAACATCAATCCACCGCCAGGTGGGGACATCAGAAATCCCATATTTGGGTTGTGCATCATTGGGTGGGGGTGATGAGGGGGAGGGGCGAAGTAGTTGAACCCCGACTGAGGAATCGTCAGCTCCTTCGGAACAATCGGCTTTGACTCGGAATGAGACGAGTTAACTCCGCTGTCATCCGATTCGGGATTTCGTACAGCCTCTGGAGTTCGGAGAGTCTTGCTCGATTCGCTCTCGGCTTCATAGTCTGTTTCGCTTTTGATCGCTTCGTGGTTTAAACTCTCGGGGCTTTGGTTGTCTTTCTCGGCAGCCGATGTCTCGCTTCCAGTTCCTTCGCTGATGGAATTTGGTGAGCTTAGATCATCCGATGTTCCTTCGAGTGCTGCTCTGCTTGACATGTGCTGTCCCTGAAGAGTAGAATTTGACAAACTAATTTCAACCGAAAAATAGTTTTTTCTTTCGTGAATCAGAACCTGTTTTAAGTCAAGATATGTCTCTTAACACCTCTCATAATAAGAAGAATTTTTATATAGACAAGATAGAAGCTGCACAAAATATTCGACCCAATCTAAAAACGTAGTGAGACCCATAAACTTGTTGGCATTCTACCAAGCCGAACTAAATTATACGTACAATTGCATAAAGGGTTTGGTTAAAAGTTTTTGGCTTGAAAATAAGTTTAAATATTTGAGAAGTGCGAAATAATACTAACTTAAACATCAGTTATATCATCACTTGCCTCTGCGTTGATGATGTCGCCCGGTCCGTTCCAGCACTCGCCAGTCTGACACGCCTGGCAGAGGTCCCTGTTGTGCTGCAGTCTGGGTCTGCCGTCTCTCCTGTCCACCAGCAGAGTCGTCTTCTGGAAGTTGTAGTACACTTCGCCTATCCTGTTGTACACGTTGCAGATCACCTGCAAGGCAAACAAAAACAAAATTTAGTAAACAAGGTATGTAGTAGCACAGAAAATTTCCACTGCATTTATCTTTGCAAAAATTAATTTTTTCATCTGAAATATTGTCTATTTTTTTTGGGGGGGGGGGGGGGGGGGGGCGCATTAGTTACATGGTCCAAGCTTTCAAGCAATTTAACGATAAAGCTATCCAAAAACAGTTTTTCAAAAACTTATCTAACTTCGCATATCAGCTTCAAAAAATCTTAAAATTCAATATTTATACAATTGAAGTAATTTTACAGATAAAAGTGTCTTCTTAGTGTCTCGAAATACGTTTTATCGTCTTAAGAGCTGTCTTCTTGTTTGCCAAACATGGGTAAAAATAGCAATATGTTCTGCTAGTTTATTGCTATTTGTTTGAATACTTGTGTAACAAAACATTGAAGTTTTATAACGGCTTATAAAGCTTCAGCAGTTCTATGATTGTCTTTTTTCTTTTATTTAAACCAAATCCTTTTCAGAAAAAATTGTTTTGAGCTCCATTAGCAGAATGAATTTTTAATGCGAGCTTCAAATGTCAATCTGCTCAAGAAATGAGAATGAACAAATTTTAGGATTCACTGGAGCAAAAAGCCAAAATAAATTACAACTCTAAAAGGAGTCAAAGAAAAACCATCATGCACGACCATAAATAGATCAAAACAAAATAGTCGATTTCAATAATTTAAGTGGGCGCTTCGGTAATATTTTCAAAACTAAAATAGACTAAAATATAACGAATTTTAAACTGAAATAGGTCAATTCTAAAAGTTTTAAGATTGACCATTAAGCTTTTGAGCTGAAATACAACCCCTTTCTCATGCACGCACCCATATAAATTGTTCAGTACTTCAGAGTTTCAGATAACTTTCAAAGTCATTGATAATTCTTTCAAGAACTTCTGCATCGAAAAGGGTTAGATCAAGAGAATCAGTCACTGTACAACTATCACAGAATGTTCCGACCAGATGTATCACTGCTATATTTAAAATGATCAAATCTGCAGCAGTTGAACAATAATAGTGCGAATAATAGTTTTTAAAATAATAACAAGACTGCTCGTATCAGGGCGAAGCCCTGAACGTTCCGACTGCCTTTTAAGGTTTTATGGAGCAGTAATAACATCAAAAAATTAAATGTAATAAAAATAAAATGAAATTTTTTTTTTCTAAAATTTGAAATTTTTTATGAAAATCATCCCCCCACACGCCATATAAAGTACAAAAGGATAGATTGCGCTCCTTGTAACAAATCAATTATGGCAAACAAGCTTCTTTCAACGCGATTTTAAGACGGATTACCTCTCCGCTTACGCGTTAATAGCGCGAAATATATCGCGAGTTAATTGTCCCAAATTGGCCAAAATGGCAACCTTTAAACCCCCATAACTTTACGAAAAATGATCACAGGAGAAATATCTTTTCAAATTTGAGCTCAGGACAACAATAGCTTTCGAATGATATTAAAAAATTCCGTCAAAAATGGCTAGTTAAGAAGTCGAAATTTGTCTGAAGAAAAAAAACCCACCCCGAGCACAAATATTCCGTTACTTTCGTATCGAAAGTCGGAACAATAATTAAATATTACCTCAAGGTGCTGAATAAACGTAGAAAGAATTAAATTTCGCTAATTTAACCCCTCTGTGATAAAATTTGTTTCTGAAAATATTAAAGTTCAGAACACGTTTTTTTTTTCCGATTATGAGACGTGAAAAGGCAGCGTGATTCAATTCTAATGATTCTTAACGAATAGTAAACAGCGTTTTTACTAAAGACAACACACGTGTTCAGTATGTTTCCGAGCCATATTTGAAAAACGAGTGCAATATTTGAACACAGGCAAAGCTGCGCTTCGCAAACACTAGCGAGAACACAACAAAACAGCAGCTTTAAAAAAGGAAAAATTAGAAATAAGCCTAGAATTAGTAAAACTTTGCTACGTATTGGCTTCGAACCTGCAACCTCGAGAATTCAAGTCACACGTCCTGCCTTCTCGGCCACGAACACAAGCACTAGTCAAAAAAGCGGCTACATATTCTAATAAATTGCCAATGCCATACAGCAAAAAAGGCACCAAAGAAAAATAGACACAATTTTGCAAATAAAAGTTTGGAATATAACAAACTGAAGGGATCAAGACTAACTTTGCATATAATAAATTGGAAAGCATAAAACCACATTATGTATAAATTATACATTTCAAAAAATTGCAACATATATTGAGTTAAAAATTTCTGAAATCGAGTTTTTATTATTGTTGTTGTTTGAAACAAATAGCTTTTTTCAGTTCATTTGATGAATTAAAAATGCACAAACTGTGTTAATTTCTTACTATTCAAATTTCAAAGCACATGCTATCAAAAAGCCGCTAGTGTAAATACTAGTGCAGATTTTTCCTAGAACAATCGACCAAAACAAATAAGAAAAAAAAATTGAGTTAGCGTGAAACTTTTTCAAATGTGTGTTTTGTTCGATTTTTTTTATCACATGTGTTTAATACCAGATCAGCACCAGCTTACATTCCATTTCGAAAATTGTCCACACCTCGACACTGCGTGCCTCAATTTATACTCGAAATTTTTCGATGCAATATTTAGCTGTTGCTTGTCTACTACATATAGTGAGAGTTATTAAAAATGTACCTTGTTGATTTCCTCTGGGTACCACATGGGGGGTTCGAACACCATGTTCTTGTTGCACTTCTTGCACTTCTGACCGTACAGTTTGAACAGACAGTAGCCCACTCTGGTCCTGTAGTCCAGGTAGAACCAAAACACTATTCGCCCCTTCATCGAAGTCCACCCGTTGCTGCACGACTACACCGCAGCACAAACAATTAAAGAACTTGAACGGATTTCAAGAGAAATCTGTTTCAAACAATTCACCTATTGCCACTCTTTAGACACCTTTGTCAGTGTTTACAACTGCTTATCTAATAATATAGAACGCTATGCAGGGGCGGATCTAGAATTTTTTCGAGAAGGGTAAAAAAGGTTTCAACCAAAAAATCGTCGTGTTTGCAACGCGATTTTGAAAGTTCATGAATCACAGGAATGATCGGTTGCTCTGCAAATAGCACAAATGTTCCGACAACAATTATCTTCGCAAAATTATAGAAATGAAAAAAAAAGAGCAGGGAAAGAAGAATGTCATGATTTAAGCTTCATTATTAGCAGCTTCATTAATGTACAAAAGACAGAAAACATTTTCAGACACTTTTTTGGTGGACACTTTTGTCGGAACTTTTCAACCAAGCTCAAATTAAGACAGAAAAAAACTGTTCAATGAAAAAAAACGGTTAAATGAAAAAACCTTGCGTTTATTTGAGAGACTTAGATTTGCGTTTAAAAAATCCGAATCCAAATGTACCTCTAGCAAAAATCGATTAAGCTTCAATATCAAACAAAAACAGTTAAAATGTATTTGAATCTGATGTTATTTCAATTTCAGAAAAATTAATCATAAGTTCTGTTCTAGTGTCTTGTTGGCAAAATGGCATATATAGCTTAAAATTTGAACCAAAATCATTGATTTGAGAATTTAAAAAAAATTGACAACGACTGCTGTATTCAAAATGGTTTTTCGAAATCAAAAGCCTCACCTCGCAGCAGAACCTGACTTTAGCCGAATCCCTGAATCGTCTCCACCTCTCGGGAATGGGGTCTTTCTCGTTGCACTTGCAGAGGAACCAGGTATCTCCCAAGAACCGCTGGAAGTACTTGAGGAACTCGACCTTCCAAGTCCTCTCAGAACTGAAATCAGTCATAGCTCTTGTTTCTCTCAGTAGGTCCAAATCAATAACTACACTTCATTTTTCAGAACAACTACAGCTAAATCCAATAATTTTTTTCTACAATCTAGTAAAACGAAACTCTGGCCGACTTTTTAAACAGTAAATCCAAAAAATACTGGAAAATTCTTGAGTGATAAAAATAATCGGGTGAAGAAGTTGGTCTAACTAAATTGGTACTTTAATGAAAATGAATCCGGAATCCGGTTCTAGTTTTGGTCAACCTGGCTCGGTTGTAATTGCACAGGAGGGGCTAATATTTACTAATTAGATTGGTAAGTTTTATGAACGTGAGATGCGGTCTTACAGGAGACCTTTTGTGTTGCAAAGCTACGTGTAAAAGTTGACACTATTTGACCAGCTTAGATCTGCAGCAAAAGTTTTAAGTTATCACAGGAAGTAAATTTAAAGATATCAAAGCTGGTTATTGCAATTTAGCTGACTTGATAACGTGGTCAACTTGTTATCAGAAACCAAAATTAGTTATTGATTAAACTCCCCGACTTCTTTGCAATGAGTCAAAAATTCTGCGCCACTAATACAAGTTTCGATATTTTATTTCAGAAAGAGTGAGCAAGGAGTTGTTCAGTTTATTGGCTATCGCAGAACATCAGTAGGATGGTATAATAGAAGAATACCGAACAGCCGAAAGGTAAATACTCCGAAAGTTTAATAATCCTACAGTTAACAACATGAAATCGAACTCCAAACTTTACAAATCTATTGCTGCATTTAATGATTTGACAGTTTATGCCATGAAATCTGCTGCTGTTATAATGCTATAACATCAAAACTTCATAATGATTAATGTTTGGTCCCGCAAAAAATTAGTCTAGGATGCCATTAGGTTAGGTGGTTGCGTCGCTTTACAGCATTGAGAACCTCTTGGCTCGGTTTGAGTTTGCATTGAACCCGAACCTCAGCAAGTTCAAATAATATTTTGTAAAGGGCAGGGCGCTTATCACACTTGTCGTGTTTTCGAGTTTGTCCAAGTTACACAGGTCGTTTAATCTTTCTCTGATATTTATTTAATCCACTGTTAAACGAACGTTTGAATGCAAAGAAACTTGAACCCAAACACTCTCAAAATTTTCGACCAAGTTCAAAAATCAACTAATTACGTGAAGAAATCATATATGCAACCATAATAAAAACATTGATTTCGGGATAAGAGTATAGACTTAGTCAATTTACATAAATAAATCTCATCAAATAAATAAATTATCAATGAATATTAACTGGATAACGAACACTGGTAGCAAGGTAAGCTCTGAATGTTCCGCCTGCCCTTTCAGGTCGTTGAGTGATGACTTTTCTTAGTGAAATCGCCCAACCTTTTCTGGAGGCAATTACATTCAGTTTTTGTTCACAGAGTTTCCTCTCTCAAATCAAAAGCATTCTCTGCTTCTTGCTATCAGAATTTGCGCACTATGATTTTTGTTTTTATTTCATTTCCCAAGAGTCCCTTTTACTAAAGCATTTTTCAATTTTCAAACAAGGATAGCCTGTTGCTGTGCAAGTAGCACAGAACGTTCCGACCATATTCATTAAAATAGAAAAAAGTTTTTTTTTGTATTTTTTTAAATCAAATTGCGTCATTTTAGTGGGTGTGTGATTGGAGAACATAACTATTTCATCATGTAGAAAATTAGCGAGTTAAGCATGATCGACAACAATTGTCGCAAAAATGAATTTAAAAAATTGCAAATAAAAATTTGCCTTTTGCCAAACAAGCGCTAAAAGAACATCAAAAACTAGTTTTCTTTACGGTAAAGTCAAGTTTTTCATCCTAAAAGTGAAAAAAAAACAGTAAATGTCCATATAATATAACGCAATGAGCGTTTCTAGCTCAAAATAAGACGAAAAATCAAAAATTTCAAACCGGTTTTTCTCAACACTGGGAGAATTTTGGAAATCTTTCAAGGTCGTTCGAATCACGACTAAAAGCTATTATATGATATATTACTCAGCTCACTCCCATGATTATTTATGGTAGCTGATTTTGCATGGAAAACAAAAAAAAATAAAACAACCGAATACAAAATTCTTCCCGATTTTCAATGGTCGGAACAAAAATAAGCGTATCACAAATACCTGAAAATAGGAATGAAAACTTGAAAATTTAAGTCAAACAAAACCATGGGCTAACAATAAATTGGCATAGTAGAATCATGAAAAAATGATCCATAGCAGTGGCGGGCGCAGAAATTTTTCGAGGGGTAGAGCGGTTTTTCAAAAAACTTTGCAGACCTTTTTTTAGGTCGATCAATTTGATTTTCCGAGCGCTCTCAAAAAAGTGTAAGGACCCTATTTTGTAAAGAGTTTTAATTAACTTTTTTTCATCTAATTTAATAGTATTTAAAGATTTATTTAGTTAACTAAAATCCAGGGCCTGATAGGTAGAGCGGCATAGTAAAAAAAATCGTCACTCGAGATTAGACGAAAAACCAAAAATTTAAAACCGGTTTTTCTCGACACCAGAAAACAATTTTGAGAGTTTTTAATTACATTCGAGTTACGACTTAAAAGGCTTTAATATGATATATCACTCAACCCAGCCCGATTATTATTTGTGGTGCCTAATTTTGCTTGGAAAATAAAAAGCCAAAAAAAAGAAAAAACTAAAACACACCCGAATATAAAGTTCATCCCCATTTTCAATGATCGGAACAAAAACTGCAAAAACTCAGCATGGAAATCTTGTTACTTATTAAGGTGAACAACATTTAGGAACCAAGTGAACAAGCTGACTGCGTGCAACTAGCCCGATCGGTAACTAACTCGAAAATGAAAAATTCTATACACTTAGGCACGCCGGATCGACAAGTGGCTCGAAGATGGCATGGAGTGAGCGCCTGTTTCTCTGCACTTTATTTCTGCGCGAGTCGGTATTGAGCGGAGTTAGTAACGCAAGAAGACATCAAACATAAAAAACAAACTATTCTCGATTATTTGTTGTCAAAAAGTTTGCTTGCAAACCCGAAAATAATCCATTAAAAAATAAAAAAAAATTATTTAACTCCTTTCTGAGGGATAAAGAATCAACGGACCGAAGTGTCCGTTTGCCGAGATTACGACAAATTTAATCTCATTTACATTCAAGATTAAACTACATGTTCAGGACAATAAACGGGGATAATATCAGGTTCAATGAGGAGTTTTACAGTTTGTCTTCTACAATTTGCGAAATTTTGCTCTATGTAAGCAATATCAGAAAAACAATTATTCAAATATTTTCTTTTTCCTATGAATCACCTAAACCTACTTTTTTGAGCTTAGCATCAACCAGCATTGAACTCGACTAGCATTATTATTATGGTGACAATTTACCGGAAAACTACAACACTTACTATTGAGTTGCAGAAAGTTTTGCCAAAAATGCGGGAATTTGTTTCTGTCATCTGAGCTTAGATTATAGATTCAGAACGCATAGGACTATAGATAACTAGCACAAACACGACAGGAAAAAATCAACGTCATAAAGTGAAATAATAATAAAAAAGTACAAATAAGCCTCGCATCAGTAAAACTTTGCTCCCTATCGTGCTCGAACACTAGTCATTAATAAAGAAGAGAACAAATTTCCAATGCTACAGATAGTGAGCATGGCAAAAGTGTCACCAAATGAGGTAGGTGGGAAAATATTTGCGATTTAGGTTGGAAAAAATTTAAGTCACACTGCTACACTACGCTCGTTACTGTAAACGGAAATTTACTGAGTAATTTTCTAATTCTAGGAAGTAATTTATAGTTTTTTCCTTTTCATTGTCCAAAACCTACGTCTGATGGAAGCAAAAGTGAGACTTACGCTGCAAACGACCAAGTAATGAAAGACAATATAAAATTTTTCACGAGCGCCAAAGCCATAACGCTTAAAATTATGCATCCAATCAAGAACAAAAACACTCTATCTTTCGGTGAACTGAAACGTTTGATAGTTTCAGTAAACTAACTTTTCGGCACGTTCACATGTCACCTTTTAATTCACTTCATTTTGGCCTTATTTCTGTTAGGGAAAATATTTCTTTAAAATTTTTCTTCTTTAAGAAAAAATTGAAAACTGGAATTTGTATAGACAAGCATAAAAATCCGAATGCAAAGCTAAAACAAAGATATTCGATTGTTGTGCAAGTAGTATAGAATGATGTTCCGACAATATTCATGAAAAAATACTTAAATTTTTCTCTTTTTTTCCGAATCAGTGCCGTTTTTTTGTTGTGCGTGGTGTGAAAAAAAGTTCTGAAGGAAGCAAGAAATACTCGATCATCACAGTGATACAGGCACTTTGGGTATTAATTTGTTCAAAAAATTACGAGAAAAAATTTTCCTGCTCAATTTTTGTGACCGCGCTGAAAAAAAAATTTTCTCAAAAAAATTTAAAATTCCATGGCCTATTTTTCCGCAAAAAGTCTAATCGCTTGCTTTACTTGCTCGAAATTGAACTAAAACTTGAAAATTTTAAGCACGTTTTTTCTCGACACTGCGACACTTTTTTGAAAACTTTAATGTCGTTCGAATCCGGACTGAAAGGGTTTTGTTATCATATATCACTATTACCATTCCACTGAAAATGTGTAGAATTTGTAATTTTTTAATTTGTTCATTTCTCATTGAAGTCGGTTTATGATGCATATCTTGAGTGAGTTTTTTTGACCATCAAAATATCAGCACATTGCTCGGAAGACTTATTTTGCACATACCGCGGGAACCTTTCAACTAATATGAATGGATCTCTATGAAACTTTTGTTTCGCGGTATAACTTTTTGTTCAGGTGAACCAAAGTGTGACAAGACATCTCGCTTTTAGAGATTTTGTTATTGACAGTAAAATAATAAAACATTAGATATGATTAAATTGTACTTTTGGTGTTACAAAATTCTGATAAAATAGATTTAAATCGATTATAATCAATTTAATTGATTTTAAGTGTTTTTTAAATGAACTGTAATCAATTATAATGGATTATAAATCTGTTAAACAACTAGTTTTGGTAATTATAATCAATTATAAATGTCCAAAAATCATCATAATAATTCGTTATAGTCGATCGCTTACGCCTAAACTTGAATGCGATTATATATAATGATTTGATGATGTTATGATTATTTGAAAAATTTGCAAATTTGTAATTTTAATAAATAAACAAGAATCGAAATTTTCGGCTCAGCCGAAATGTGCCGAAAAAATACTAGATAATGACAAAAACAGAAGACTCCCAAAAATGGGAAATAAAAAAGCAAAGAGGAGACCCTTTCAGTTTCAACAAAAATACATTGATTCAGCTAATTTTTCAATTATTTCAATAAACTATCTGTTGTGTTTGCTGTAATGATTGATTCCATTGAAATCTAGGCTTGTTTTGTAATGTTTTAGGCACTTTTTTCTGTCCTCTATCAATATATTTTGGACCTTCCCCATATTTCATAGGAGAACTTTAACCAAACTGATGTGGAAAAAAAACGATAATATCTATATCCCCCTTTTGCAAAAGGGGGGTGGGGGAGATTCGTTACTAGGTATAAAGTTCTCATATGCTTAACCGTTGATTTATTTCTTTATAGGGGAGTACTCGTCACTATATACCCGAGGGGGGATATAGTTAAAGAGATCCGTTGATTTGATACACTGATAAAAGACTTAAACATTTATGCTAGTCGAGTTTTATGCTAGTCGGGCAGTGGCAATTTATAGTTCTTAGAAAGCTATTTCACAGAATTCAGGGTCATATTCAGAATTACCATTTGCACCAAGGTACATTTGTACCAAAATAACAAATAGGTGCATTTGTACCAATATTATTCAACTCGAATTGTGATTCGTCAATTTTGAAGCCAATAAATGATTAAACTAACTGCCTATTGTTCAAACAGCATAAAAACAAACCTAAGCATTAAAATAACAAGCCTAAGCGTCAAAATAAGGACCACCGCAATCGCGCCAACATATATTGCGAGCTTGCCAACATAGGGTAGGACTCCATACAAAAGTTAGAGTCGATTATCGGCTTGGTGGTCTTCGAACAGTTGAATAGTTTTTGGTTCAAAAGCAACCGATTTTTCATTTTGGTAAAAACACTGATTTTTAATTTTCGGGGGGGGGGGGGGGGTAGCGATTAGCATGTGTGTCTATTAGCATGCGATAATTGCTTTAACTGAGTGTGCTTTCAGACGAAAAACAATTAGCCTAAAATTTCAAATAAATTCGAAATCCACTTGATTTGTTCGGGGAGTTAAACTTTCACGATCACCTATTGAAAAATTCGGCTGAGTGCACATTGTCGAAAAATTGGAATTTGAATAAACAGAGACGTGAAAAGCGAATCTTCAAACTGCATTCGTTTACATCGGCATGCTAATCGACACACATGCTAATAGGCCGGTCCCCTTCAATTTCATACTTGGGAATTTTTATTTTTTAACTCACATTTGTCTTACTTAATGTCATGCCTTAATGTCTGGGCGCCTTATTTACCAAGCGCCGACTCCAGCTTTTTGTATGTTTACTTCTGTTTTAGAAATGTGAATTTTTACTCACTGAACTGTCGCTGCCATTTACAAGAACGGTATCTCTTTCGTCTCTCGCTTAGATGACCTCAATTGATTTTCGCCGACCTTTGTTGACTTTGTTTCAGCCTACAAAGGTTGAAGATTGAATTATCGAAATATGAAAACTTTCAAATGTGGAAACGCTATTTTCCTTAAGCGTTCTTTCTTGATGTCAAATTTGTTTCCAGTCGTAAATTAAACAGTAAAGCTATGAATTCTCAATTAGAATTCAAATCTCAGATATTTGGTTTCCAAACTGTTCTTCTTTGTGGAAGCTATTTTGGTCTAAATAAAGTGCCCAAAAAAGAATAAAGGAGAAGTCAACAAATGAAGAAACAATAATGCTTAATCTGGGCTTATGAATATGGGACTTATTATTTTATCATCATTATGTTGAACTTTCGCTCGAAAAACTCAAACTAAACTGAAGAGCTGTGAAATACTCCTTTAAACCGAATTTTTGTCCTACTTATCGACAAGACTTCACTTTGGAGAAGAGCACAAGTTTGATAGCTGTTCGATTCGAGCAAATCTTTCCGTTTTGTAAACTAGTTAATCTTTCCGGGTCTCTCCCTGGAAAAAGTACCTCTAACAAAATCCACTAAATCGCATAATTGCAGCAAGCTGGCTTTTCAGTAACTTAGTTTCAAGATGTTTATCAGCGGATCCGAAAAAGATCATTTAAGCCCACTTGATTCGAACTTGTGTTTTGAAGGCGGAATATGCAACAAACAAGGCGCTAACAAAATAGAGACGAAAAACAAACAAAGTTTCGGGGTTCACTAGTCGAGCGAGTTGATAGTAATTGACCGCAACAAAAAGAATAATTTTTAGCTGGTATTGTTTTTAATGACGGAATAACAATGAAAGATTCAATATTACAAGGTACTCTTCTCTCTTTTCTTTCCGTTCTCAGATAGGAGATAGCTTATGCTATTTTTGTGGGTGAGAAATTCGTTAGATTAGTTGGTTGGTTTGATTCAGAGCAATGTGTAAAACATTAAGTTAGTCGGCAAAAACTATGTACGATTGGTTTGACTTTTTGAAACTTCTTTGGTCAGAGGTGCGAATTTTTGGTCGATAAATTTTAATTTAAAATGCTGATGTTTAAGTTAAAATGAAGAATTTTGAGCGAATTAAAAACAAAGCCTGCGATTTGTAATTTCAAGAGCTCGAAATGAGCTTTCGACTGGAATTGAAGTTTATCTTGAGATGACTCTTGAAATAAATCTTCAGTGATGGAGAGTCTATTGAATTAGCTCAAGTAAACGTGAGCACAAAAAGTTCATTCTCGAATGGCTAATCGGCGTTAATATTATTTATTGGTCCATTATACTGGTATTAAAAAATCAAAAAACTCTTCGGTCGATTGATGTTGCAAAGACATTTTCAATTCTATCTTAAGTTTTCGTTTTACCAACATGACTTTTAGCAAAGATATCCGCCAGTAAAAGACTGTTTAGTCGAATAAATACAATTAATTGTAGTATCAAATTGACTTCAAAGCAGCATTTTCGTCCAGTTTTTAATTAACAGCTCAGTTTGGTTTGTATAAATTATGAATTTATGAATATAAAAAACACAAGCTTGATTTGAGTGATTGGCCGATCAACCGCGTATCGGTTAAAATGATTGTTTGCAAATGGTACTTATCGTAATAAACTCAGATTGTGGTATGATTATGAATGAAAAAAATATACACGTTAGTCCCATGAATATAAAAAGACCACCAATTTCTGCTTGGTTGAGTTTCAGATCCAAGTTCTAATCAAAATTACTAGATGTAGGTTGGAATCTTCGGAAACAACTGAACCATTTTCCAAAAAAGCGTACATGTTATCAGCAAATCTTTCTATCTGCGAAAGTTTTAAGCCTTATCCGTGACCATTTCAAACATGGAAAAAAATCCACTCGGTCAAAAACTATATATTCGCCAACGGAATCAAAAGCATCTTTCGTACGGTAAAGTATGCTCGGACGTGAATTACAACGTTAATACATGAGCCCGTATGGTATGGTCTACCGAAGAGCCTATCTCTGATATTGATAAAAATAGCAACCGTTTGATATATTTATTCCTTGTATCTGAACCACATGGTTCACAGCTGCTGTTTCAATATGGGTGAGACCAATATGGGTGATTAGCAGGTCCCGGATTTAGTTAAGTAAGAAAATCATTTGATTGGGCCCATGTGAACAATCTCCCCCATGAAGTTAAATGGCAAATTCAGGACGTAAGGCCTGCATGTACTATGCTCAAATCTGATTGGCTGAACAATATTACTTTAAGCCAAGTGAACTTTCTCCCATTAAATTGATTTAGGGGGAGATTGTTCACTTGGTCCTTTTTTGTTCCGAATTTCGAGGCTAGTGAGGAATATTTATTCTTGGTGTGCCTTTTTTTCAGTCAATTTTCGACTTGTTAACTAAGAGTTTTTGACGGATTTTTTATACCATCTGAGAGATATTTTTATCTTTGAAAAGATATTTCACCAGTGATCATTTTTCGTTAAGTTACGGGCGTTTGAAAATTGCTAATTTGGCCAATTTGGGATAATTAAAGTGCGATATATTGCGTACTTATGACACGCGTAAGAAGCGAACAAAACAAAGTATGAAATTTTGAGTCGTACAAAATTAATACGACTGATTAGCTAGCATCAATTCAATTTGGAACGAGTTTTTTGTGCGGGATAATTCGATTGTGGCGCGCATAATTTAGTCCAGAAAATGGCCAATTTGGCAATTTTCAAACCAATAGAACTTAACAAAAAATAATCAGAGGTAAAATATCTGGACCAAGTTAACATCCCCCCCCCCCCAAAGCCGTTTGGGGGGACGATGTTAACTTGGTTCTAAGTTGTGATATTTTTCAGCCAATCAGAATCGGGCGAGGATGTTAACTTGACCCAAATATCTTTTTAAATTTGAACTCAGGAAGTTGATAACTAAAATTCGGGCTCTGGTGACTAGATAAAAAAACGTAACTTTTATGTATAACATAAAGATGGGATGGAGTTCAAGGTTGACCATGTGGACCTTTTAAGATGTTCGGAATTTGAATGCTCCTTGTAGAGTTTCATATTACTCGCGGGATTTTTGAATTTGAGTTCTCTAGTTCAAGTGGGACAGTTTCTGCTTTTGTTTGATTTCTTGTTCCGTTTTTTTTGTTATCATCGTCTTTTTTTTCGCTTTCGTTGTCGTCGTTGTCAGATTTGAGTTTTTCGTTCTCTCCGTGGTCGCTTTTCCATAATCACATTATGTGCTATGAACTCTGTCAAAAACTTTATAGCTAGATCTGCTCCTGCTCTGGTGTTCATTACAACCCGTGCTCGTGCGGTTCTTGACCTCTGAATATGGGAAAACGATTGGTTTTCGCATAAAGCCGCTGATTATGGCTGGGTGAGATTTACGCTGTCCAGGATTCTATAACTCAGCTGTGTCTGGATGAACACGTGCTCGTCCATCAACAAGCGGTGCTCGCGTACGTGAAAATGATTTCGAATGTTCAACCAGTAAAGCCAGAATGAGTTTTAATCATATACCGAAATTCATATGAATTGAGCCCACGAAACTTTTTATTTGGTTGAGCGGTTTAGGCGTGATCAATTTTTTTAATACGACCTTCGCAGAATGCTTTCTAAGAGCTCTTAATCTCCCAATCAACTATTTTGTTGCGTATCTTAACATTTCTCAGAGGCTGCATGTTCATCTTGCTTCGCAAATTTGGGAAGCTCTCACGGGATATTGTCCATAACCGTGCCCAATTGAATACGACCTATTTTATCAGCCTGAAGACACCGCAGCTTGGTATTAACGGCAAAATTCAATTTTACTTTTTTTTAAGAACAGATCAATTTTCTCAACCATTTTCATAAATTTTTAATTAATGGGAAGTAAATAAGGGGGCGTTCAACAGTGCCGAAATACAACAGTGCCGAAAATGGAAAAGTGTTCAACAGTGCCGAAAATTGACGATTTTCGGCACTGTTGAACAATAAATTTATTTTCGGCACTCTTGTACTTCGGCACTGTTGAGCACCCCTCTAAGGGCATCACAACAGTGCCGAAGTACAACAGTGCCGAAAATAAATTTATTGTTCGACAGTGCCAAAAATCATCAATTTTCGGCACTGTTGAACACTTTTTCATTTTCGGAACTGTTGTACTTTGGCACTGTTGTACAGCCCCGTAATTAACAATGGAAACATTTATCAGTTTCTTTCGAGTTTGATCGAAGGAGAATATTTTTTGGCTCTTTTTCCTTTTCCCCCCACCTGCAATTTTTTATAATTAAAATTACTGTTCGGATTGTCCAATTGTCATGAAAATTGACATGCAAATACATTAGGCCATGACAAACATATTTGGTCTTCATAATTAACCTTGTAAAATCACTCGTTAGACCATAAAATCGATGCTCATAAGAGGTGGGGGGGGGGGGGAAGGAAAAAGAGCCTATTTTTTCTGAGCAAAAAAAATCTGTGAATTAAATTTTGTTCAATCAAGATTTTTAACACATTTTGAGCCCGTTAACACTTGTTGAACAAATGTTGTGGGCAGGGGCGGATCCAGGATTTTCTCGAGAGGAAGAGGCGGATTTTCAAAAATTTTGTCGACCGAATTTTTAAAGGTCGACCAAATTGATTTTTCGAGCTCACCCAAAGCACTAAAAAAGTCCCTGTTTTGGCCTAATTTTCTGCGCTGCAGGCAAAATTTTGAACAAATTGGCCAAAAAGGCGTTTTTAAGCACTTTTTGGAAAATTTTGACCAAAAAATTGCATTTTTTCGGCGGGCGCTCCCCCCTCAAAATTAGAATATTTTAGTGCCAAAGGCGCCTGTAGAAAAATGTTAGGGTCCGTCACCAAAAATAGGTATCTCAAAATAGTACAAAGGGGGAACCCCCTAAATCCGCCCCTGGTTGTTGGTTATCTTGGATAAATCATTATCTAGCGATGAGAACAATTTTTTCACCTACCATAGCATTTCCTGCAAAAAATATAACTGTTCAAAAAGTGATAATTCAGTTGGACTCATATGATTGGTTTGTATGTCCACTTACATCGAATACCTATTACATGAAAATAGAAAATAAGTTAGGTAAAACATCCTTCCAAATTGGTCAGAGTCTATCTAATTGGCATTAAATGCACTATTAGGCGCAAAAAACCTCTATCAGCTTTTGATACTTTTGGCGGTGAAATTTTTCTGAAACAATCAAGCAAAGCTTTACCTGAAACATAAACCAACAAAAACTTATCTTTCATTTTTAAAAGTTGGCGCTTGTTACCGATTTTAAAAAAGACGCATTCAAAAAATTTCAACTTGTGAAATTGCTTAAAGCGAAAAAAAACAAACTTAAGTACAACTTATTTCACGAAACAAAAAAATAAATCAGAAACAATGCACCTGAAAAAAATGTAATTTATATTGCAAGAAACTCTAAGCAGAAAATTTTCAAATTGAAGCAGAGAACTTAAAATTACAACAAAAAACAACACGAATTCAAGCAGAAAACTGAAAATTACAGCCACGAAAACAACGAAATCTGGGAGTTTTGCAAATGAACAACAGTTGCGATTGAACAGAGATTTGAAGAAAAAAATTGGCTATACTAATCAAAAACTTGACTATATAATTTGAACTTGGGCTTTGAGTTGGTTTAGCTTTTGATAATATTTATGTTGCAATAAATAAACTGGATAAAAGCACGAACAAAAACTTTCAACAGCTCATCAATCTCAGAATTGGCTAGGCAGTTTTTCTAAATCCCCTAAATACTGATCAAAATATCAAAACGTTGACTTTTTTACGCTCATAACCTGTGTTTGAAAAAAATCAAGGGCGTAACTGCCTCTGCAGGGAAAATTCTCATAAGCTAGTTTATTAAATTTACAAATCTGAGATTTGGCATGATGGTTTTCGAGAAAGTGCAAAACAGTGAAAATTTCGGCACTGGAAACTTTATCAAGTAGAAAATGGCCGCTTCTGTAGAGAAATTTACGGCTATTTGCTCCACCAATTGAACCCTTACACTCAAATTAGGCCAGGTAGCTGCAAAATTATCTGCGAGAAATTCCTACTTAAATTTCAGCGCTACGTCGCTCCTCAAAAAATCAATTGTTACGTATTACGATCCGATGTTTGTCAGAAACTAATAGTTTGAAGTAGTTTCACAAAGAATCGTGAACATACAGATTCCGCAAATTCGAAATGCTTTGTTTGATAACAACAATAAGTGAAGCGAGAACATCGTTGCCCAAATCGTGTTTTTACTCTGGGAACGGAGAAAACCAACAACTACGTTCCCCTATTATTCAGCTGGATTAATCAATAGCATCCTTTTTCTAACAGCCGGCATAGAATCGAATCAAGGACCGCTATACAAATGCTCTATCTGTGATAAACATAACGAGAGTTCGCCAAAGCGTATGGTGCCTCTTCAGCGGATGGGTACATCTCTCTTGCACCTCGTTACGTAACACTGCTGAACGGTCTCGTAATTGCTACTGTCAGAACTGCTCTTTTTGTCAACATCAAAAAGTACTATACCAAATCAAGCAAACCAAAGCTAAAAAAAACCAAGACCCCCTAAACCAAGCAATGAAGAAAACCACAGCAAAGATTTCAAAATCTTAAAATTCAACGCAAATGGCCTGCACCCAAAACTTGGCAACATTGTTCACTTCATTGAAAACAAAAAATACCGGTTGCGGCCAACAAAGAAGTCAAACTTTGTGATGAAATCACCTGTAAATCACCTCCAGTCTACTCAATGATAACTAAGAATCGTATCCCGGAGAAAATTAAAGGCGGAAAATCGGCTTTTATCACAATCAAAAACAACGTAGGCATCAAGAACTTAAAATACCAGTGAATCTTTAAGACTCGCACAGAAAACTGTGGAATTGGAAAAAAATGAGAAAAATCACATAAACTTGTTACTATTTATATTCCACCACACTATAGCGGCGACGCAGGCTCCACCGCATCCATAAATTCTCTAATATTTGGTGATTTCAATGCTCATAATCTTTTTTGGTTCTCTGATTTTGAGGATGAAGTAAAAGCAACTACACTTGCCAAAAAAATAGACGACTCAGACAACGTAGTATAAATGAGAATGTTCTAGCTAGGGTAACCTTTAACTTTAGGAAAGCAGACTGGGGAGGACTTCGCGAATCAACTGAATTAGCTTTTGACAAATGCAGATCACCCAAAACAGTGCCTGAAAGTGAAGTTAAATTCCCCAACATTTCGATTAAGGCAGTCAAATGTCACATTTCACATGGCCGCATCAAAAAATTCCGACCACACTTTCCAAAGCAAGCTGTAGAGTTTTCCACGACCCGCGATGAACTTCAATCAAACAAACCGGGTGACCTAAAAGTTTTCCAGTTGAAAAAATAAATCAATGCCTTGTGGAAAGACACAAAAACGAGAAGTAGATTGAATTAGTTAATACCCTCAAGCTCAGAGCTGCCAACTCTTTAGCGGGCAAATCAGCTGACAACACACAAAACTTACCCATAAACTTCAACAACAAACCAGTTCATTACTCTAAAAAAAAGTGTCATTCGATTTAATCAGCAATACAGTCCTCACCCGCTCATCCCGAACAAAGAGAAACGCAGAACGCTCCGATGACTAAAAAAACTCGTCATGAGTCCTCTATAATTGTCCCACAGGTTGTCACAAACAAAACCAAACTAAGCAGGAAAAGCAAAACTTAAGGGCCCAATAATATCGCCCCACTCATCTTCACTAGTTAAGCGAGAAAAGTATCAAATTCCTTACAGAAAAATATCAATCAATCTCAACTCCTCAATTATTGCGTAAAACTGGAAAATCGGTCGACTCTTTCCTTTACTGATACCGGGCAACAGCAAAGATGAAGCAAAAAGCTACCAACCCATAGCCCTTTTTACCCCCAGTACCGAAAATGATTTGAAGAATCTTGCTGGATGACCTCAGCAACATCCCACAAGATCACCAACGCTGAATTCGAAATTACAGGTCACCAAACACTGCCTTACACTGCGTTGCCACAGACATAGAGAAACTAACTAAATTAACCTCATCCTCCGCACAGGACACGTTTAGTTAATTTAGATTTTTTTGCAACCTCCGACTAAGTGCATCACAGTATCTTGCAGCACGATCTTGAGAAATCGTCTCTTCTAAACATCACAAAAAGTTGGAAAACATCATATTTACGAAGCAGGTCAACATATTGAATTTAGAAACAAAAAATCAAAAATGCGTTGAACGAAACAAGGTACACCTCAATGACAAGTTTTGTTGCCTATTCTGTTTATGATTTACATGTCATCAATGCCCCTTCGGAAAATCACTTAACTTGAACTAGAGGTAAAACCTTATCTCGGTACTATAAAAAATTGGCTTCAGAAACGCAATTTAAAACTATCTGAAGACAAATCTTCAGCGACTACTGGAATAACCTGGAACAAAGAAAAAAAAATCAAACTTATGTGTAATTGAAAACAACCCACTACCGACCAATCAAAAACAAAATGTTCAAAAAGTCACCTTTGGTTACTTCTTTACTTTCACTGAACACATTACTAGAGTGATCAACAATTTCCTAAAAGACAAATTCCTTTTACCGAAAAAGCTCTCAGGCACAAGTTGATGATGTAGCAAAGAAACTCTAAGTATTACATACTAGGCCACTAGCGCAGTGTTCTGAATTATGAAGCTCCTGTCTGGACACTTTCAGTCAGTGATTCTCGTAGGAACGATCTTCAAATCCGACAACACAGCTCTTAAAACTAACTGTCTGCGCAAAAAAGAATCCAATTGAACACCTTCATGGTAAAACTCAAATACTGTGAGCATAAAAACACGGTTAGGCAAACAAATTCTATTTGGCTGCCATCAACAAGAGCGACGTGACCACCACACAACTAAACACAACCCGATGTCGAGAATTATAAAACCAACACTTGCCGAAAAATACTATGGCAACATTAAAAAAACATCTTGATGAAAATGGTCGTCTAACACAAGATCAACACGAAGTCGCTTTTAAAACAATTCATTCAAAGGAGGTGAAAAACTACGTTTCCAAACATCGCTCTAAGCTTACGGGCTCTCAAACTCCAAAAATAGCTTCAGAAGAAAACAGCTTTCCCAGAAGTTCACGACATAATCTTGCTCAACTTCGCTGTGGATATAACACGCAATTGAATAGCTATCTGTCAAGATTGGACAAAAATGATTGCTCAAACTGTAACGCTAGTCCGCATGACATACACCAGCTCTTCAACTGCCCATTGAAACCAACATCTCTTAAGCTTGACGACCTGTGGGACAACCCCGTTGCAGTCGCAAAATGGCTCAATTTACCAACATAATGGGGCACATTAGGAGTTATTCGCAGTTCTCTGTACTTAAAAAAACTGCCCGCTGAAACTGGGCATGCTCGGTTCTCAGTATAAAAAATTGCCCGCTAGAACGGGTTACTGTTTACTCAGTACTGTCAGAAGGGGGCCTTTCTGCTCTTAGCGAACCCTGGGAAAGCCACAGTTACTGTTTTACGGACGAAACGAAACAATCAATCAATCTCCACAATCTTTGTTTGTGGAGTACTGAAAATAAACGGCAATGAAGAAGCGAATTGTACGCCCCTTCTTTTGCAGCTACAAACAACAAGTTAAGTCACAGGTGCAGTAATTAGTTTTTTGTCCGTATTTATTCTTGTGTTTTGGTGTGTGTTTCTGTTGAGTTATGCCTTATAAACTTTTATCCGGACCGCTTGATTCCTAATAACTGGACTATGAAACGTTTATTGTTGCCCCTACAATTCAAAATTATAAAGTTACCACAAAAGTACACGTTTTTATAGAACAAATTATCTTACAAATAGCAGGGTAGTTTTCGAGAAAAAAGAAAGAAACTTAAAAAAAAACAGCCAAAGTTCAAAAGCTAGACTTTTTCGTACACCATATTTTTTTCTTCACAAAATGCAGAACTCTTTACGTCGAGAAGATTCCCGCAATCTGTTCTCTCAACCATTAGCACCAAAATTCCCATTAGCAGAGCATTTTTTGGTAAATAACTTCAATTGACTTTTCAGGACTCCTCGTAGTGGTAAGCCCGCTTGCTCCTACGTATGTACAATTACTAATCTATGGTGACTGGGCAATTGAAAAGCAAGCCTGTTCTATAAAGAGGTATCAACAGCTAATTTGATGAGCCTATTGACTTCTGGATTTCAGTTTCAACCAATGTCAAATTAAATGTATATCACTATTAATGCTCTGACATTTTATCGTCCGCCAAAATAACTCGACAGAATGACATTCGTTTGCTCACTTAAATTCTAAGCAAAATGGATCTCATGAAAGTTCAATTGCCCCTTGGCACGTTTCCGATCAAATTTCTTAATTTATTTGGTATTTCGATTACATTCATCAAATTTTCAGAGTAGGTTAGCTTGGCCATTTATGCATCTGTTTTTATATCTTTCAGCTTTAAAAACAATAGGCAATGATTGACGGGTAAATTCCATGACATTTTTAGAATTTTGCGAGGGGAAAGGCCAAATTGATTTTCCAAGCTATCAAAAAATTCGCAGACAAGTTCTTAAAAAATGACCAAATTTGTTCACACTTGAAAGGCGTTGAACAAAAAAATGATTTTTCGTTTTTCGGTGTCGGATCCATCTCAAAATTTGAAATTAAAGATTTTTCCAGTTTAAGTCATTCAGTCCACAATAGATACCGAAAAATAGTTGAAAATGCAGTAAAGCAGATCCATTAAAGTTTCTCCGCTTAACTTTTATTTCGCATTGGCTAGGCTAATAATCTCCCAGTTCATTGCCCAATGATAGCCAATCAAGACGACAGCAGAACTTATTATACTGTCAATGGGCTGATCGATTCTCTAGGCGGTTATGGTCGCTTCCAAATTACATGGACCATAATCATGATGTTCCTTCCACTTACAGTTTGTTTTGTCTCAACCAATACGTTCTCACTTCAGTATTTAGAAGTGCCTGAAAGTATGGACAGTGAACAAATAGTTTCCTGCGTGAACGAATCGAAGTTCTTTCAAACCGAAAATGGCACGTTCGAAATGGTAGCCGAAGACATGTATTCCACAGCCACTGAAGAATTCGGATTATATTGCGACCGTGAAATTTGGATCCCAATAGTAGCAGCTGTTTTCTTTGTGGGTCAGGCAGTTGGCGCGCTCACAGCTGGTCAGATATCCGATAACTTCGGACGTCGCCCAGCTCTAATCGTTTCGGAACTTTTCTTGAACGTTCCTGCCTTACTCTCAGGTTTTTTCGACTCTTTTCCATTTTTCGTAGTATGTCGATTTTTAAGCGGCGCCGGCTACTCTGCATGTTATATAATAGTGTACAGTATACTATTTGAAATGGTTCCTTCAGAACACGTGATCCTTTTAGGTCTAGGTTATGAAGCAGTTTTTAACCTCGGAACAACATTACTAGCCGTTGCTGCATTTTTTATTAGAGATTGGAGGTGGCTGCAACTTTTTGTTTCTGTGCTAGCTTTACCTTCCATATTTATTCCATTTTGGTCACCCGAAAGTCTACGATGGCTGGTCACTTCAGGGAAGTTTAAAAAGGCAAAGCAATTAGCAAAACGACAAGCAAAAGCAAACCAAATTCGAAGCACAAAATATGATAGAATCATAGATGCAATTTTCTATCAGAAGTATCAAGTTATGAGTGAACGATCCGACGACAGCATTGGATCATGGTTCTTCATTGTCCAAATTTTGAAAATGAAGAAATTGCAAGTCTGGGTGCTGATTTTGGCGCTTTGTTGGTTCGTTCTATCAAGTGCCTATTTTGGAATCATCGGAAGCATAGTTCCAGGTAAGGTCCGACAATTAATTGTCAGTATGTGTTGCTCGCACATACACAAAATTAGCCAGAAATAGTATTAGACAAATGCATTTTTTTGCTCCGACCACTGTAAGTAAGGAGAAACTTTGTCTCTGGACGTGCTTCATCTTTATAGAAAAAAATTCCACGCACAATCAAGAAACATGCATAATCATTAGAATGGGTCGAGTTACATATCATATTGTAAACATAAACAGGTTTATTGTAAAACATTAATGAAGAAAAACTCTTTAAAATGTCACATGAATTAATAAAGTAAGATTTGTTTCACAAAATTTGGACCTAAAAATACCTTCCTTGAAAATGGGTTACTCTCTACTCTGCTAGACTATTTTATCAAAATTTAACCCAAAAACTACTTTGTCAATTTACCAACAAATTATACCAAAAAGAGCCTGAGATCAACAAAATTTAGAGTAATATTTTAAACGTTTTTAAACCTAAAGATAGGCATTTAAGGAAAGAACAAGACTGCTTGTATATCAGGGTAAAGCCCTGAATGTTCCGATTGTCCCTTAATTCATATCGAATAGTTTTTGGGAAGAGAAAATATTGACAAAATATATAAATTTTGGACAACATCAAAGTTTAAAATTAGCTAGCCTCGATTCAATTTGCTAGCCTCAATTCAATTTGGAACAATTATTTTGAGCGGGATAATTCGCCACGCATAAATAATTCGCGTTACGCTCTCAGCATTATGAATAAAACCTTTTCTAAGCGCACATAATTTAGTCCAGAAATTTGCAAATTTGGCAATTTTCAAACCCTCAGAACTTTACAAAAATTATCGGCGGAGAAACATCTTTTTTATTTGAACTCAGGTAGTCGATATCTTCAATGGGGTATAAAAAAACTTTGTTGAAAATAATTATTTCGATCTGTGAAAATTGACTGAATAAAAAAAACACACCGAGCATAAATATTCCGTTTAATTCGAAAGTCGGAACAAAAACAGCAGATTTTGGCTATCGGACAACGATACATGTTCGTTAACAAACTTTGTACAAACTACCTTTTTTGAAATTTGTTTGGGTAAATGAGAAGCTCCTTTTGGTCGAGGTAGTTATTGCATAAACTTTGTTTTTGATCAAAAACAATCCAAAAATTTCCAATGTTAAGGAAATATATTGAGTCCAACTAAACATAACAGGAAAGATAGAAATGCAAAAATTGCAAAGAAATCTATTTGGGCGTAACCGGCTAGCCTTGTTTCTGATCTGGAAAATTTGTTATCAGTCCAGCGAATTGGTTTTTCTCAAATCTCGTATAAATTTTCAAAAAAATGTTCACAAAGGATATATCATGTTAATTTTGCAATCGGAACATCAGTCTATTTTCAAGGTAGCGTGAAATATTTCTTCAAATCCTATTCTTTGTTGAAAAACGGAACAAAAATAAAGCTGCGCAATCATTTTCACGATTTTATGCCAGCCAAGAAAGGGATTTATGAGTGGTTACAAACGTAACCAGCTATTTAAGAAGGAAGTTCTTGTTCAATTTCCGCTGAAGTAGCTCTTTTTTTTTCAGGCGACACATTTCTCAACGTGGCAATATCAGGATTGTTGCCGCTGCTCTCTTTCCCTCTTTTCTACCCAATCGCAGTCAGATTCGGACGCAAGCCAGTCCTAGTGGCATCTCTGATTCTCTGTGGCACATCATCCGCAGTAATCAGCTTCACGTACTACCAATCAGACATCGCCACTCAGTTTCTGGCTCATTTTGGACGTCTTCTCACCGTCTGCAGTTTCTCAATTAACTATGTTTACACGTTAGAGCTCATACCGACTTCAGTCCGCGCTTCTGGATTAGCGTTCTGTTCCGCTTTTGGACGCTTTGGCGCTTTTATCACTCCGTGGGTTGCAGCTTTAAGCACGGCGTTCTGGGAACCCACTGCGTTTCTAGTGTATGGTTTACTTCTCACACTAGGTGGCTTTATGGCCGCCTTTTATCTACCCGAGACTTTAAATGCGCCCATTATGGACACACTTGAAGAAACACAACAGTTCGCTTCTAGCATGGACGACAGTGAAAGACATCACCTGCTGGCATTTAGTTACACAAAATCAGTCAACTACAGGAAACCCGTAATTTCAAACCTAAATTGACCTCAATGGTATCATCCAGTTGCTTCTAACCCTTCAATTTATTAGCTTACTCATTCACGTAAAAAAAACTAGAAAATGGTAAAATGCAAAAAAGAGTTGTTTGCTGCTTTATTTCCTTGATTTAAATTATCATCCTGCACCGTATGAGAAATAAGTATTTTTCAAATTAATCCCTGAAAAAATAAGACGCACTTGGAATTAATATGCTCAGTAATAACTTCTCTAAAATTCATCAATAAGTCATAAGTCTAATCAGAAATTTTATTTTGTAATCCAGCCGATCAATGAAGACAAAGATGAATTAAATGACCAAAAATTAATATTCATTTGCTATCCAAATCAACAGTTTTCGATCCAGACAATTTTGGTTACACTAAACGACCTTGTGTTTCAATTTGAATAATATGCTTCAGATGGGGTTTAGGAACTTAGATGACAGGAAATTAGACGATCAGAAAGTAACGGAATTTAGACAAAAACTTGCGTGCAAATTGTGTAAAACTTGTTTACAGACTTAAATTAACTTTTGACTGAGTAAATACTGGTTGTCCAATTTAGACAACTTGCATGCAAATTGCGTGAATTTTGTTTACAGGCTTAAATTAACTTTTTGCGGAGTAAATACTAGTTGTCCGTAAATTCCGTTTCTTTACGGTCGTCTAATTTGCTTGTCGTCTAATTTCCTAGGCCCCGCTTCAGATAATCAAAAAAGAAGTATAGATAGTTTTATCAAAACTATCTTCTTCCAGGAAAATGTTTGCGTGATTTCTGAGCAGATTTGGTGGCTCTATTTTTCAGTCTCTTTTTGCTCTCTCTTTCTAATCCCTTTTTAACAAGCGCTTCCTTTACAAGTTCTTTGAGTTTGTTTTTCTTTAGATAGAAAGGCTTTTTCCCATCTTCGAGTTGCGCGATTTGCTCATCTAGATTTTTCGATACAATTTCTCTCGTAACTTCTCGTTTATTCCTCGACCTTTTCTCCTCTTTAAACTTCTGAACAAGCCGAGAAATGTGCTGTTTTTCATCGTCTGTTTTCGCTTTTTTCTGCTGCTTTTGAAGCTCTTTTAATTCTTGCTCTTTAATTTCGCTGAGGAATTTGTAATTCTCATCAAAAAACTCTTCATTGAAGGTTCCCGAGAGGTCATCGAACCTTGGATCACGGCTCAAAGATACTTTACTCTGCTGTTTCTGCGCTTTCCTTGTCGCCTCATATTTATAAGATTTAGGCTTCGAGTAAATCGGCTCCTCTGTAGGTGCATGTTTGTCAAACTTTCTCTCAACGAGCGATGTTTTTGGTTTCTTAGTCCTCGGCGCATGATCGCTATTTCCAGTGTGAGTAATTTGTTGATGTGCTCTTTTGCTTGAAAAGGAAGTCAGTGTTTTTCGAGCTGACGTATAATTGGACAGAATTTCTTCTAAGGGGACGTCGGCGAGTTGAGAGGATAATCTGTAATCTGATGTCATGAAATCTTTTGCCATATTTGCTGAAAAAGTTTTCTGTAATTGTCAATGTAATTTTATGTACGACACAATTATTTAATGCATCCCGTTTGTTTTGCACCCGCAGTTAAGTGTAGGTTCAATCGTGATTTTAAACTTAATTCACCATGTTGAAGAAAGCTGTCTAAGAAGTAACGCTTTTTTTTGGATAAATTTGAATTTATCTCAGCGCTTTTATTAACAAAGCGAAGAAGACTATTTTCCTTCACTTACTTTTTTATCTCGCAAAAAATATTCAATGCCAAAAATGATAGACAGACGAATCGCTAAAAAAATTGGTTTGTGAAGGCGAAAGACAAACCCTTGAGGTCTTTAGGGATTTTGTTTTTCCGATTTCTCGGCGATGTAAAAAAATGTCTTATAGATTGAGTTTTTTCTGATACCATACACTTTGGCTTGTATTATATCAACTCCGATGAAGTTTTAGTTTAAATTTTTGAACAACCAGTTTTGCAAACTTAAATTAAGGCTTTTCAGCAACTGAATACCTTACTAATAATTCTGGCTTCGTTTCCTCTTTCTTCTCCCTGCATGCACAAAATCGATACAAATTTTGGGGAAAAATAGTTTTTTTTTAAATGACTGTTGTTGGAACCGTCTCTGCTTTTTGCACAGGAACCGGATTCAGTTGTTCATCTAAACTAAAACTTCATCGGAATTGATATAATATATCAGAGAAACTGGAATCAATAAGGTAATTTTTGAAATTATCGGGAAATCTGAAAAACAAAATGCATAAAGACCTTAGGGATTTGTCTATCTTTCGCTTTCACAAACCGATTTTTTAGGGATTCGTCTGGGCAGGGATTCCTTATTAGGGATTCCTATAGAAAAGTCTTCGCTACGTAGCTCAAAATTCTGATACCAAACTTGACACTCTACGAACTTCCTTGGAGTAGTCCAAATCGGCTACAGATCCAGACTCTATACAATTGTTCCTTCCCACCCCCGGTGGTCTGTCTGAACAATAAAACTGCACAGCACCGGATCAGGGACGAATTAGAGTTTCATCATCAATTATTCAGTCTAATAATAGAAACACAATTTTTTTCTGCCCTAGATTCCTAAAGATAAACGGATAAAGGATGGATACCATTATTTGATATCTCCCTACAATATATACTGAACTATTGTTCAATGAAAAATTTCAGCGAAATGTCTCTAATTCTTTTTTAACAAATAACAAACTTTTTAAATCAAAAATATTCAAATGTCAATACTTTTATGATCACTAAATGTGTAAACAATCAACAAATACAATTAAGAAGGCGAAGCTGTAGAAAAATCAGGTGATTTAATTGGGTTTTTGAGGAGTTCATCCAAAGCTTTCGACAAATTTCCACATTTACTGTTACCAGAACTCCTTGATGTTTGACTGGAATAATTATCTCCTCTTTGCGAATTTAGAATTGAGTTTGAGGAGAATTTATGGTTTACAGGAGACGGCGAGCACAGATCAATTCCTTTTATTTCATATTCGGGAGAGTCATTTACCAATGGAAGTTTCTTACGCAGTTTGAACCCCAAGTCACCAGAATACCCAGTTCGATCCTCGTCCATGTCCATAGATTGTTTAACTTTTTCGTCTTCCAATTCTTTCTCTTTGACTAGTTCAGAGAGGAAATCCATTGAAAGACTATCCTCGCAAAATATCTTATATATTGTAGTAGGCTTATCATCGTGAAACGAACTTTGAGCTCTAAATTTCTTGGGCGACGCAGCAGCTGAACTTTTCTTTGCAAACAATGATTTTCTTACATTATGTGTTGGCTTCTCTTTTGAAGCCGAAGTCATTTTGACATTTCTAAACTGGTGAATTTTTGTAGTCGAACGAGTTAAATGATCGTTTAGAGGTTGATTTTCTTTATCAGATGTAAAGCATTCGGAAACTTTTGTGTCGATAAGTGACAGCGTTTCAACTCCGTGGATGGCCTGGATATTTTTACCTCCACTTTTTTGAATAGGGAATATCCCTCGCAACGGCGTATCACTTGCATCTACTCCGTCAGAATCGATAGATTTGCAATCATCGAAATTCATTTCCGACTTGGCCGGAGTAAAAATTAATTCCGAAACTTTCCCATTCTCATTTGGTTTGAAAATGATGCTATATGGGGAAAATTCAAATCCTTTTACGCTTTTTTGATCGTCTGGAGTCAAATCATTGTTATAACTTCTGACCGACTCTGCTTTTAATTTATCGTCTTCTGCAATTTTCGATTTCATGTTCAGATCGAATGATTGCCTATGAATTGAATTACTACTACTCGTTTTGGCCACCAGGATACTTTTCTCTGCAGAATGCTCTTTCGGCTTGTAGAACGAGTCTCTTCGTTTCAGTGATGATCCCGAACCTTCAGTGCTATTTTGCGATAGATTCGACTCGCCTCCGATTGAACTGCGCAGCCTATTGCGTAGTTTCATACCCTCGTGAGAGGTGAAGCTCTTCGGCATTTTGTTGAACGGGGTCTCTGATACATTCTGCTTTACTCGCTCGTCTTTAGACATCGGCAAAACTGATTGATTCGTACTTTTTGAGTTGTTAATTTGAAATCTGTTGAGCAGCTTAGCACCAGGTGTTTCCAACACTTTCTTAGTGATTAGTTTCTTTGCTGAAAACAGATAGGATGTCAAGAGAAACTCTTTCATCAAGTTCAGGTTTCAAAACTAGGTCATCAAAAAAAATTTAAAATATAAATACGTGTTTTTCAGTGATGACTGATAAAAAACAATACATGACTCGACATTCCTAAAACAACTACCATAGACAGCGAAATGTGGAAACTTAAAGCAAACATTCGCAAACCTTTCTGTTTCTTGGCTGAACTAGTTTTAGTCAATCCACTGGCTTTTCTGGTGTTTTCCTTTCCCGGAGTCTTCGAAGCTGATCTCTTACGCTTCTTAGTTTGGCCTCGAGATGCAAAATGAACAGAAGTGTCTTTATCTTTTTCTCCAGAAGTGACTAGTTTTCGAAACTTCTTCTGGGCCGATTTCAAAATGGAGGAGGCAAGAGAACTTTCTTTCTTCGCTCCCGATTTGTAAGGATCTTTATTGGCAATCCTGTTAGAAGTTCTCGGTTCCTCGGAACTTTTTGCCAAACTGAAACTTTGACTCAACGATCTTTGCAGCATCTTAGATTGCAATTTGAACTTTTCCTTCGACTGCACTGGTTTTTCTAACTTTGCGATTAACTTCGAAGGTCCCGGCAAAATCTTCGCTAGAGGCTCGCATTTGTCACTTGAGTCTGACCGTCCAAAATCCGAATTCCTTGAATCCTTTCTGGTCGATCCTTGAGACCTGGATATTGGTTCCTCCACGAGGTAACGAATCGAAGAACTGCTATGAGTTGAAAACCTGTTCTTACATCTAGAACACAAATGTCGTAATCTACGTGTCAATTGGAACCTGATCTAAACTACATTTTATGATTGGATAAATTAGATATTTTACCAATGTAAAGTATTTAATATTAACCAATCATGATCCATCTAACTAACAATCCACTTATTTGTAAGTGCTGAAATTACTTGTAATTTCAGCACCAGAGAGATTTGAATTTAACTTAGAAATTAGTTGAACTCTCCCGAGTACTTCAGCAGCCGCAATAAACCAGTATACCCTAGATCTATTGAGCCTAGCAGAGACTAGTTAAACAACCTGAGACTAGATAGTATAAGAGTAAGATTAGGATCGGTATTAGACTAAGAAGTTGCACGAATCTATCCGGCCGAAAATAAGATAGCGTTAGCGTGACGAGCAGACGGTGTACCCTATCCGAAATTACTCTATGAGTTATACCCATCGGTCCTAACTCATCTGGTGCAATGATAAAATTTCACGAAAAATATTTTATACAATCAATACCATATGAACAAGTAAATCCATTACGAAAAATAAGTTCTAATTTTCGAAACATTCATAATATAGAAAATAAATTAACACGTTTTCAAATATATCAAGAAACAGAACTTGCATGTAAATACAGAAACCCACTTCACAAAACACAATACTCTGAAATATTAGTTGAATACGAAAATGGATTCGACATGACCACTGGAAAAATAAAAGCCGACCCATACGCCACAAGTCATCCCCTAAACGAAGGAACATCATATATACCAGTTAATTTTCAAAAGAATACAGGTCAACCTGGTGGACATTTAAAGCCCCAAGACGATCACAGCACACGTTTACAAGAACTATCCCTAATGAATAGTACATATTTTGGTAATATCCACTATGATATTCACTTGGATATGAAACTAGACTACACGATTAGCCGAATTTTTCAAGAAATGTCACTCTCCGAATTAGAAACACTACACCAACTATGCGAATTAGAAAGAACACAAATATTACAATCACTCGCACTAGCAGTATTAAAAATACCCTATGCAGGATATTTACTATCAGGAAATAGATCAAATTTTTTAGACTATGAAGGAAACATCTTATGGTTTTATACTTGTACTAAAAAAGTATCACCACTATACGTTTTTGAAGATAAACGATGCTATAAAAGAATCCCTATCTTTTATAAGAATAAAGTACATTTCGTTGACACACTTTCACGAAGAACCTATTTCTGGGATACCGCAGTTCCATGTGGATCAGAAAATAGCCACAACGTAGTACAACTAAACCCTGATGAAGATAAATATTACCTTTTCACCCCATATCCCACATTAATGCAATCACTCAAAAAATTTTCACCAGAAAGCATTCGCGCTATCGCTCGAAACCCAAATATAGACTTACAATCAATAGGAATATACTCAAAATCAGATATTCAACATCACATTAGAACACAACAATTCCAGGAATTATTAACACAAATGGGCACAATTCAAAGACAATCAATTGACCAAAACTTACGCAAACTTGCCGAAACCGCAGGATTTGCAGACATCTATACGCAAGACTATAGCGGATATTTTAAGGACATTAAAGATTATATATATCTAAACGGTGAAAAATACCGTCCCCAAGATATATCACCTATCAATATTTTTAGCTTTGTTACACTTAAGAATGAAATTCTTGATTTTCTAGGATGGCCCTACTACATCTTAGAAAAACTGACTATTTTATACGCAATGTTTAACTTTATTGGATTTCTTTTTTCACTCTTAAAAGGAATCTATAACACATGTGCTATACACACACAAGTCAATAGACAAGCAAGTGTAGCACGCATACTATTTGCAGGATTTTTTGGAATATTTTCTACATCTATAAACAAAATTCTTTTAGACGCACAAATAAAAGAATATAACACAAAAATAGCAACAAGACAGAACACATACGACGAAGAACATAACAATGCAGACACAACACCAACAGCACCACAGTTACCACCCCTACCACATAACCATCCATTATCCCTAGTCCCACGTAATTTTCGAAATTTAGCCATAAGACATAATAATTTTAGACCAACCATATCACAAAGCCCCATCCAACATATAATGCCACACCACTCACAAGATGAAAATACTTATGAACAAATTATAGAACAACCCCATACCACCGCTTTTCAGTCTCAAAATAATAGTTTTTTTTAGCCCACGATGAGCCGACAACTTGGATCCCTACACCGATCAAATTCCCACCCAACCAACCTCACCACTCCAATCCCAATAATACCACTTTTTGCTTTTCCGCCACCCGATTTCCCATCCAGTAATGTAACATCCGGCATGAATTCCGATACTAATTCACACATCTCAGTTTTATACTCCATCTCACAACTCAATAACCCGAATATTGAAACCCCCGATGAATTTGCCGACTCTGAACCATCTCCATCAAATAATTTTCCCACCAACCCCTCAATTTTTTCCCAACCCCCTTTTCAACCCATATTACCAAATAACCCTGACCCATCCAATTCTACACCCTCTTATGCTTCCCAAGTCACTCCAACCTATTCTTCACTTCACTCAGACCAATCATCTCATTCTCCAGATACCCCCCGAATCTCCCCAAAACTAGATAACTTCATTACCCTACAACAACAACCCTATCACCTTGACATCCCAACCATAAACCAAATCTCATCCACAACAGATTCATCCAAACCTCCTACCCCTACAGCCTCTTGAATTTATACTGAATCATTAGCACCATCATCCACAACTACTGAATCTTCACTCAGCACTAATAGAGCTTACCGCACTTTTAAAAGGAAGTTCCCCAACCATCCTTTCCCAGCGAAACCAGGAACAGCCCGTGAATATATCAACCATCCACAACACACTAACACAAAAGAATTTTTAGCTATCACCTTACCCTCATTTCCACAATACACCTTAAACACCCCTCATGACACTAACGAGACACGTAACTTTGTAGACGAATACGTTTTAATGCCTACCCTTCCTTGGACCTCATATTATCATTTTACAAATCCCCTTTGCTTACCTTTATCTAACACTCATATCGATATAGAACGAAATAAGGACATGCTATATCGACTCACTACAACACTAACACCTAGACAATTTACTTACATTGGATATAAAAAATCACTAAAAACACACACTGCACCCCGAGCTAATGAATATACACTAGAATATTACGATCATAACATCATCAGAACTAACCAAGATCAATTCTTAGACGACGATCGCTTCGCTAACCCACAAATCACCGAGAAATTTTTCATTAAAACACCATATGTATTTACACTAAATATCTTCGATCGCAAGTTTGACCACATTATTTCAGAAGCACTATCAGACACACAAGCTTACGAAAGTTTTAAAGAAAGATTTCAATTATTTTCACTAACCTTTCATTTCCTTGCACCACATGAACGAGATTTGCACTGCTCACATGACATTATGTTACGCACTAAACAAACCCACACATATACATATTACCGCTTTATACAAAATCACTTTGACCTACACACTCCATCAAGACAACCACACCATCGTTTTCAATTTATTAACTCTAAATACACCTCACCATTCTTTCTTAACTTCACATATTGCATTAAAGATACTAACCTTCATGGTATTCTTCGAAATTATGATCCCATAACCCAAATGTATATCTTTTGTCCCATCACCAAGACCTTCAATGCAGAAGAATCCCGACCCTTCCTCATCCCACAAGAGTTTGTACAACCTATAGAAATCCCCATTTTAGAATTCATCCATAACACTAAATTCAACCACAAATTATATAATCTAATCCAAAACACACCTTATGAATTTGCAGTTGGCACTGAAGAACTAACCACCATTAAGGCACTTCAATTGCTTTGGCCACTGCTTCAAACTAAAAATATCATCCGCATTTTAGCCAAATTACTAACAACTTCAGATCTCATCCACGACATTTTCCCCCACGGTTTCTTCCCCGACGACTAACAGGTAAGTATGAATTATACATATTACTAACTAATTTAAATATTAGAAACTCACCATTCTTTATCCATGTTTTCTTTAGAATTTTAGCCTTCATCCTCGATCATCTGAAAAATTCACAAAGGAAAATAAAAATTGAAAACTTCTTCAAACTGTTTAAAACCCTATTCAATTTTTGCACCAACAATTAAATAAATATAATACCAATGCAGTAAATTAATTTATAAATTTTTCCCCCACAAGCAGTAAATCTAATAATGATGAAAATTTGTAACTTAATTTTCCCCACCAACTAGCAGTAAAATTAAAAATTCTATGTAGTAAATTAATAAGAAGCAAATGCAGTACTAACCTTTTGATATTTTCATTCACTCGCACAAGAATTCTATCCAAACTCGCACAGCTCGCCCACGAAGAATTGTTTAAAATAATGAATTTCAGTTTCAAGCTTTCACACTCGATAACTCTAACACAAGAAAACACGTTTCAAACTTTCCTTTAACCCGGTTGGAAAGGAATTATATACTAAACAAAACTAACCAATGCAGCTTACTAAACACCACAACACATAGCATAACAGCATGACTAAGAAAAGGAAACCAACGGTACCCAAACCGGATTAACCCAGTTTAAAACTGGATAATTTATTCTTTTGAAGACTATTATAAAGTCTAAGAAAGAAATAATAAAACACAAAAAAGTCGAAAGACAAACCCATACCACAAACAATTTGATTTTTGAAAAAAGGAAACAACCAACAAAACATAAGAAAAACCACAACAAACCCAACATAAAACGTTGTCACATAACAGGACCTCTCACAAAAACCGCATGCAATCATACTCCCACTCCTGGCCTAACCCACCAGGAAGGACGTCCTGAGCATGCTCTATAGCCGGCCTAACCCACCGCGCTACATCCACGCTTTGTGACCATACTCCTATTTTTAATAAGAGCTACTCAAGGGTGAGTAACTCTTCAAAATAACTGAACTAAAACAAAAAGCTTTTGTGAAAACAACTAACTAAAATCATAATTAAAAAATATTAAACTAATAAAAGTTTTATAAAATGTAAATTACATTATGCAATATATAGATCAGAATACAACACCAAGGACGAACATCCAAAGACAAAACGACCCTACTACACTCGAGAAAGAATGGCCGACTGCAATCAATATGCCGCCCACAATCACAACTCAAAGGATTTAGAGTGCGACTTGACTTCGCAGAAAAGGACTTCATTGAACTAGACCAATGACCACCTCGATGTTCAAGTATACGTACAGATCCGAGTAACCAGGCATCCCCTCCACGCACAATCTCCACGCCATTCCCAGACAAGGTCAAACACAAAGAAGTTCTCACCAATGAAACAGAAAAACCTGACATAGCCAACCATTCTGAAATCAGATTTGAGTTTGTTGCGAAAACCCAGTCGTTGTCTTGAGAAGACACAACGACTGAATCTGGGACTTCTCTAATAAGAAAACCCAGAAGAAATAAGATGTTCGCCAAATACAAACGTCCATCATCCATCTTTTGAATTGCAGAAAGATAATTCTAAAAAACTCTGTAAAACCCGGATGGGTGGAACCTGATCTAAACTACATTTTATGATTGGATAAATTAGATATTTTACCAATGTAAAGTATTTAATATTAACCAATCATGATCCATCTAACTAACAATCCACTTATTTGTAAGTGCTGAAATTACTTGTAATTTCAGCACCAGAGAGATTTGAATTTAACTTAGAAATTAGTTGAACTCTCCCGAGTACTTCAGCAGCCGCAATAAACCAGTATACCCTAGATCTATTGAGCCTAGCAGAGACTAGTTAAACAACCTGAGACTAGATAGTATAAGAGTAAGATTAGGATCGGTATTAGACTAAGAAGTTGCACGAATCTATCCGGCCGAAAATAAGATAGCGTGACGAGCAGACGGTGTACCCTATCCGAAATTACTCTATGAGTTATACCCATCGGTCCTAACTCACAATTGGGGTCCAAAATATTTAGGAATGGGGTTTAGGAACTTAGACGACAGGAAATTAGACGATCAGAAAATAACGGAATTTAGACAATAACTTGCGTGCAAAATGCGTGAGACTTGTTTACAGACTTAAATTATCTTTTGGCTGCGTAATAACTGGTTGTCCGTAAATTCTGTTTCTTTACGGTCGTCTAATTTGCTTGTCGTCTAATTTGTAGTCAGTTTCTGTACAATTTTCAAAAGACAGCTATTCGAAAATTGACCAAGATTTAAATTCCTTGCCAGTTATATTTTGCTATGCAAGTCAATTAAAAATCAATATATTTGACGTCTTCTTTTTAAATTTGAAATCTGTGTTTACCTGTTCAATAAATTCTTCGCCGGTTGTGAGTTACACACTAACGCATTTGTTTTTTCACTATTTCCGACAGAAGCTGAACTGATGTCTCTGTTATGGAACACATCTTCTGCACTCGAATTCAGACTCATATCGACAGTTTTATCGATTATCATTGACTCATCCAATTCATCTTCTGACCAATCACTGTCCGAGAAAAGGTTCGAATCATCCGTCATTGCTGCATGTTTAGCACATAGGGCGATAAGCAATTCCGATGTTAGATCTCCCGCAACATTCTCGACGACGAAAATTTCTGAGAGAAAATTATAGGCCATGTCTTTGCACGCCCGCGCAAAGTACCTAAAAATTAAAAATCAACGTATTCAGCAAAAAAAAAACATTTTTTTTTTCTAAAAACTGAAAACTCAGAAGATTTGTTAGAAAGCCAAAAGTATATAACTATAAGCATAAGTCGCTTTTTCAACAATGCTCAGATTGTTTTTTAACCTGCTATTATGAAACTTACCATTCGCAGAACGTACTCTCGATAAATTTCTTGAACCGCTTGGAAAATTCGGCCGAATTAGAGATTGATTTGTTGAACACCACTTCAATCGTCTCTTCCAATCTTCTCTTTACGTCCAGTATAATGTCTTGGTCACTGGAACAACAAAATAAATGAAATCCAAGTATATTACAGCTTTGAATTATTTTGAAAAAATCACTTCTTTTCATATAAGTACATTCGCTCGCCATTACAAGACTTTGAAACAATTTCATCCTGAAATGACAAAACTGGTTGATCCGTTAAAGCTGATCCAATTTTACTAACTTGGAACTACTCGCTAGATATCGCACGACTTCGAAAGCCAATATCACCAGCTTCTCCAGGCTAAAAAGCGCAATTACATTTAGAAACGCTATTTTATGCAAAATATCAAATACTTCGGTCGAAATAAGCTACCTTTCGTGGTGTGAATAATCGGCCGAAAAGATGAAAGCGACAAAATCTTGAATGACTGTCATATCTTCCACCTAAAATATCCAGCTTTCCAATTTCAGAACAATAAGTCAGCCTAAGCTATTCGCGACCAAACTAATTATACCAGCCATTTTAAAATTAAGGGAAAATGCCAAATTCTTACGAAAAATTAATGAACGATGAAACCAAACTTTTTTGATTGGAGATTTCATTTTGCCGCAATCTGTACAAAAGTTGTTGACACCCTAAATTGCTTCGATGGATGAAAATTTGAATATTAAAATTATTTTCCTGCTATTTTCTTTTTAATTTTTGATACAAAAAAGTACAGCTTTGTTGCTCTGCACATTGAAACAATTATTGATAACGATTAGTTTTTCAAGGCCAAAAAGGAAGAAGTTTGATATGTGGGTTAAGTTTCGCAGAGTTTAAAGTGGGCTGATTTGATGTTTATAAAAAACGAGCTCATTAATTTTTAATAAAATGATTTAATTACGCTCTAAAATAATCAGAAAAATGTTGGCAGCAGGAATTATAGCCAGAGGAGAAAGTGAGTCTGTGCTTCGCACGCAAGTATGTCAAATCAGTCAATAAACGCTGGAAAAAAATTACCATGCCAACTGCCTCAGTTGCTACACTAAAGCAGAAAGATGGCATTTTTAAATTTTTGACTAGCATCTACTTGAAATGTATTATTCGTCTGCTTACTATTATTTAGTAGCAGAGCAAAACAATAGTAGTTCTCTCAATAGTTTTAAAGAAAAAAAGTGACATGGAAAACCTAGAAAAGGCCTACTTCAAAGTTCTGAAGATCAATGTCTGCTTGAAGAAATTCGACAAATTTGACAAAAATTTGCCGAGTGGGTTTGACTGAGCCAGCTGTAATGTACTTAAAAGCTGCATTCGATGAGTGTTTTGTCGAAGCTGGAATCTCTTTCAAATGCCTCATAAGTGTGCAACAGCGTCAGGGCATTCTCACAATGTCAAAATACATCGACTGACTAAATTTAGGCACAGACTGAACAACACTTATTCACAATACTGTCTCGCATTGGCGTCGGTAAATATACAGATCATTATGTAGACAAATTCACAAACCGCCAGTTAAAGGATTCGGTGCTAAGCCAGATTTCCTTCCAAGTTTTTCTCATTTAACCAGACGGCGAACCACCCATGCGGCATAAAGAAATGATGATTTAAAACGTGAACAGCCATGAAGTTGAGTCGAATGCAACTGATGTTTATCCACTAGGAACAAATATGTGGGAAAAGCCAAAAATCAAATCATTTAGCAGATATTTGAGATGCAACATTGAAGGAATTTTGATGCCCAAGAAAAACGCAATTGTTATCCTAGCTGGTAACATAGATGTCAGTGATGGCCTCAAGGATAGTGTGATTGAAACTATGACAAAGATTGCAAATAACCAAAAAGGAAACTTGAAAACTGTTTATATCCAATTTGCTAAAATCTGGAGCGGAGAAAAGTACTAGCTTCAAGCAAAGACAAACATGCTTTGAAATTCAACTCGTTATCAATTTGGAAGCCGAATGTTATTGTGCGCATCTGTGGAGGTCAAAATGCTTCATCTGTACGACGCAGTCATCTCCAATTTGTCCATAGCTGGAGACATAACAATCCATAAGTATCAGAGCTTAACTCTTGAATGTGTGGTCGTAGATTTCAAAATAATTTGCGCTTCGCTTCAATTTGGACAAATTTATGTAGCCCTGAGCAGGGTTCAATCATTTGAATATCGGTCTATTCTTAAATTTGAACACAAACAGTTTGACCCGAGAAGTTTGTGGAAAATCAACCAGATCTCAAATAATCTTAGAAATATTTTTCCGAATGGCTTTTTAAGGACCGGTTCGATTTCATCGATTTCCAATGTTTTCAAGAAATGATATTGCAATACAATGAGAAACATTCTTCAACGCAAGGATATTCTTATTTCGAAGAACCCTCAGTCAGTACATTTTACCATCAATAGGTTTTGTCTTAAATGGTAAACACCAATAGTTACAAATGTGTCAAATTGCAAACATTTCTCAATGACTTATTTGAAGCAGCAACAAATGCTCTTAAATTACCTATGGCTCGCAATTTACCAAATTTACCACCAAAACAGCATTTTTAGTTTGGAAAAGAAGTCGCTTCGTAGTATTACACTACGCTCTACTTGTGAAATTAGATGCACCTTTTATATTTACAGTCCCAATCAATAGTTCATCAAAACCAATAAAAGGGCAGTCGGAACATTCAGGGTTTCTGCGCCCTGAAATCAAATCAGTCTTGTTGTTCCGACTTTCGAAGAAAGAGAAAGAAGATTTGTGCTCGGGTTGCTTTTTTCTCCAGACTAATTTCGGCTTTTTAACGAGCCATTGTTGACGGAAGTTGTTTTTATCAGCCCAAAGGTACTGTTGTCCTGAGCTCAAATTTAAAAAGATACTTCACCTGTGATCATTTTTTCGAAAAGTTACGGGAGTTTAAAGATCGCCATTTTGGGATAACCAGCAAGCATGTCTTCATTAACGAATCGGCTCGCAGAAGGCAAACATATTTTAACTGGAACTGAGGTACAAGTATGATAGTTGGTTCCCAATAAAAAGCAAGCATGAAAATCGGTGCCGCAAATTTTATGAAAACTTCAAAACACAAGAAAACCAAAGCGAACCATGTTTACAAAATGTTAAGTCTTAAAAAATGTCTTCAGGGACCCATCTAAGCTTAAGAAACCCAACTGTCATGCTTCTACCTGAACCATTTCGCAAAACTTTTTGTAAGCAGGCCATTCAAACTATGTAGCTTACAATTTTGTGCCCTGAAAGAGTGCCAAAAAGTTAGTTTATCTATTTCAGCCATTCAAGCGATTAGCTACTTCGATGATTTGCTATTTTTAACTTGGTGAATTTTTTATAATTAAATTTTTTGCACATTTTTCGAAAAATCAAACAAAAAACGTCATATCTCGGAAGCTTAATGGCTTTGAACAGCAATATTTAGAGGCAAGCTTTGCAAACTCTAAAAAACCCTGATAGAATTGCTAATTTCAATTTTTTTTTGCGTTTTTTTAATTTTTTTTGCACAATTTCGAAAAAAATTAATAACGTCAACGTCATATCTCGGAAGCTGGAAAAATTTGAGCCGACAAACTTGGAGGCAAGATTTGCAATTCCTGAAAGTACCCTGTTATAGGGTTGATAAATGTTATGCAGTTTTTTACATCTAAATTTTTTGAAAATTTTTCAAAAAATCGTAAAAAACTTCATATCTCGGAAGCTGAAAAGATTTGAGCAGAAATTTGAAGGAAGATTTGCAACCCTGATAATATTCTTACAGCACCCCTCCATAGTTTTGAGAATTTCAAACTTTGGCGTTATTCCTTCAAAATTCTAAATTGAAAGTGATTATTAAAATTTCAAGAAAAACTTATTTTGGATTGAAACTTCGAAATTTGGATTGGAAAAAACATCTAGAATATTATCGTTAACCGTTGTGCTAGATAGAAAAATTAAAACGTTGCATCCATAGCGCATTAAGACTTTCATTTAATATATAATAAGAAGATATAAGTAGCAGAAATTCCTGAGGCAAAACACTTGAAAAGAACAATTCAGGCTAAATCTGTCTAAAAATGAGCTTCTGCTTTCTTCAATTTTCTGAAATTGGTCAATTGCTCTTTTTAATTAACTCTGTCTATTAGAACTTTTCACAACTCTCCACATATTATATAGCTTTAACAAATTTATCGGACATCTTAAACTTTTGAAAAAATTCTGAGCTTGAGACAGCAAAATGTCGGTAAAACCGCAATCGAATTTTCAAAACTGCATTTGAACTGACAAAAAAGCAATGCGACCTGCTTGCGCTGTTTCGGAAAACATCATTTTCGTCTTCGATAATATTCCAGAAATAATATTCGATAATATTCCAGAATTAAGAAAGTTCTAGAATATTCTTGGCCTTCTGTTAAACGTTAAGCCTAAAAAATTTTTAAACGTTGCATTCGACAAAGCTAATACATTGCGTTCAGTTAAACATTGCTTCCATAGCGCATTCCGACTTTCATTTGATATTTAAGACTAGCGCGCGATATATTTTGTGCGATTAGCGCGTAAGCGGAGTTTTAATCCGTCTTAGAAATTGTTTCAAAGTCAGTTGAGGCACGCTATTTAATAGTTTCCTATATGCTAAGTTTATTACTTTATACTTTGCATGTGGGGGATGATTTTTTTTGAAAGCGAACACTACTCCATAAATCTTACAGAACAGTCGAGGCACTCAAGGCTTGGCCCTGAAACGAGCAGTCTCGTTTTCGTATAGTCTCACAACACGCTATGCTAAGGACAGAATTTTTTGTTTTGAGTCTATCCACTCGATAAAAAGACCAATTAGCTTGCCTCAAATCAATTTGGAAGAAGTCTTAAGCCAAAAAAGACTGCTCGTATACAGGGCAAAGCCCTGAATGTTTTGACTTCCTCTTAATCCATATCGAATAAATTTGGAAAAAAAAGAAAATATTGAAAACTATAATTTTTGGACAATATCAAAGATTGATAGTCAAACTTTGAGTCGTACAAAATTAATACAATCGATTCGCTGGCCTCAATCGAATTTGGAACGATTTTGTTTTGCGGGATAATTCGCCAGGCATAGATAATTAGAATCTATTAAAACTGAGCGTTTGCCTATGATTAATACCGCAGTAAAATTAGATCACATGCGAGTTCTGCTTACCGTCCTACAGTGCTTGCCATGAAAAGCGTTGACTTGGAACACTGCAAACTGCAGCTGCTTCAGGCCAATCAAACTGATCTGTTCCGGCAGCAACTTCAACTGACTGTCCACAAACGAAAACAATTCCCGCTCTGTTGAAAACCCTGGAAACAAACACGAGTTTTCCTTTTACTTCGTTTTATCTAAAAGTAATGACAGTTTTCAGACATGTAAACTATATTGAGAAATATCTCTCCAATCAAAATTTTTTGTTTGTTCCAAAATGTCGGTAGATGAAAAAAATCAAACTTACTCATTATTTCGCATTTCTCGTCCTTGCTGTAGACCCTTTGACCGTCTAAACAATTGCAGAAAAACTCCTTGACTGTAGCTTCCCTTTTTGGTTTTGCGAAACTGCCTCCGCTCGAAACTCGCTTCAGACTGGGTAGAGAATTCTGAACCGTTGCCAACTTTGAATTGTTCCTCTCCAATGATAGTCGGTTATTTTCGGATTTTAAATCGGAAAGCTCGTCGTTTGCTTCGATTAACGGGCACTGAGAAAGCTGGAACAACTTAGCCGCTCTTGTCTTTAGAGTACTTTGTTTTCGATTTTCGGTTCCGAGTTTTGTTCTCTGTCGTTTTGCTGCTGGCGCTGTATTATTTCGAGGGTCTGATTCAGATCCACTAATTAATGAGGAGTTATCGAAGTCACTACTAACAAGATCTTCCAATTCAGTTTGACCTAGAAAACATATTGAAATAGATTTTGAAAAACTAAACAAGAAAGCTGGTGCCGCGAGGGGACAATCGCCCAAAAGCAACAAATTCTCGAAACAGTGACGAAAAGTTGCACCTCGCATAAACAAGAAGAAATATTCCAATTGACGATAGTGACAATATTTTTTTTTGTTTTGACAGATCAATTTGAATTTTGACCAGAGACTTCTAAATGAAAAGTTTAAAAACTGAAAATGAAACCGATTCCTGGTGTGGATTGAAATATCAAAAAGTTATTTCTACGAAGTTTTTTTATTTCGGAATGAAAAATGCAATATTTCTCGTCTAGTAACGAATTCTTACGACCAAATAGCTGATTTGAATTTAAAATGATTTCTGAGCCGGATTAATTCGCTGCTAACGCGTTGACAAGCAAACCTATTACTTTACAAAAAAAACATAGCCAACAGACAGTTGCAAAAAAGTCAACGAACGCAATTAAACTGGCTATTAAAAAACTTTCGAATTTTAAAGAAAAAAAATGAGGTCTTAAAGCTCTTTGAATGTCTAGAACAATTAATGATTGGCACTTTTTCGATAAAACTAACCCAATTTGAGAAAACTTGATCATTAGGTAAATTTTTATTTTGCTGGGAAATCTGAAAAATAAAATCCATTTGCGAAACTAGAAGTCAAGCACGTTTTTCGTGGTCTTTTAACTTTCGCTGTTCGATAATCGAGTTTGCCTTCCTTTAAATAAAAAAAATGAACTGAACCTAAAAAGAAATCATAAGTCAAAGTGTAAAAAAGTAAATTTGAGCCTGCTCAAATTTTAGACTTTCTTGAAAAAAATCATCGCGACCTATAAAAGAGTATGAACTACGTTCACCGGGAACAAAGTCACTTTTTTTTAACTCATGGCAATGATATCTTTCAGATGGCTAAAAACGGCTTGTTAAAAGTCGAAAGTCCTCTATAAACACAAATATTCCGTCACTTTCTTCGAAAGTCGAAACAATTACAATAGCCTCTGTATTAATGATTACCAGCCAGGAGCGGATTTAAAGTGGAGGGAGCAGACGCCCCCTCCGCAGAGATTCGACCAACTGCCAGCCCAAAGCGTCCCCCTTTAATACTAGTTCCATTTCGACAGACCGACCCGACCTTTTTTCTAAAGGCGCCTTTGGCGCCAAAATATACTAATTTTTAAAGCAAAATTTTGGTCAAAAATTTCCAAAAGTGCCTTTTTCATGCACTATACTGAATACATATACTGTGGTTGTCATGCATTATACTGAATACAACTGGAAAAATATAAACTGAAGCGGATGGCAAATTAGACGTAATTGATTCACAGAACAATTGAAAGTTGTTGTAATGATGAATTGCCTGATTGGGAAAATTCACAATCAAAAATGTTCAGAAAAAGATGTTTCGATGCCCAGCTAAAAAGACCCAAAGCACAAAAATTATGCCAGCCAAACATAATTAATAAAAACCGAAAAAATAGGCAGAAAAATCATTCAGTTTTAGACTGTTTCGAAGAAGTTGATTGATCGGTTATTAATTCTATGAATTAACAAGACTGCTCGTATCAGGGCGAAGCCCTGAATGTTCCGACTGCCTTTTAAGGTTTATGGAGCAGCAGTAATAACATTAAAAAAATTAAATGAAATAAAAAAAATGAATAATTTTTTTCTAAAATTTGAAATTTTTTATGAAACTCATCCCCCCACACGCCATATAAAGTACAAAAAGATAGATTTCGTTCCTTGTAACAAATCAATTATGACAAATAAGCTTTATTCAACCAATTTGGAACGATTTATAAGACGGATTAAACCTCCGCTTACGCGTTAATAGCGCGAATTATATCGCGCGTTAATTGTCCCAAATTGGTCAAAATGGCCAAAATGGCAATCTTTAAACCCTCATAACTTTACGAAAAATGATCACAGGTGAAATATTTTTTCAAATTTAAGCTCAGGACAACAATACCTTTTGAATGATATAAAAAAATTCCGTCAAAAATGGCTAGTTAAAAAGTCGAAATTTGTCTGAAGAAAAAAAAACCCACCCCGAGCACAAATATTCCGTTACTTTCGTATCGAAAGTCGGAACAAAAAAAAATTTAAAAAGTTTGAGATTTTATGTAAAAACATCCCCTCACACGTCATATTAAGTACAAAGTGATAGATTGTGCGCCTAGTAACAAATCAATTATGGCAAACAAGCTTCTTTCAACCAATTTGAAACGATTTTAAGACGGATTAAATCTCGCTTACGCGTTAATAGCGCGAAATTTATCGCGAGTTAATTGTCCCAAATTGGCCAAAATGGCAACCTTTAAACCCCCATAACTTTACGAAAAACGATCACAGGTAAAATATCTTTTCAAATTCAAGCTCAGGACAACAATAGTTTTCGAATGATATAAAAAAATTGCGTCAAAAACGGCTAGTTAAAAAGTCGAAATTTGTCTGAAGAAAACAAAAACCCACCCCGAGCACAAATATTCCGTTACTTTTGTATCGAAAGTCGGAACAATAAGATGATTCAAATTATCCGGACAAAACGAATTTAAACTTCAAATTTGAAGCGCGTTTTTCATAAATTGGTTCACTATAGACAAAAAAGGAAAACAAAACTTGCATAGAACTTTAACAGAAAAGAATGAAACTCTAGCTTGCATATATAAAATTGAAATGTAATGAACTAAAGGCAACCACACTAACTTTGCATGTTCCTTAATTATAATGTATTAAACCAAATTGCATTTCAAACATCTCGCGAATATCGAGTCGGAAAAATTCTGAAACACGATTTTCATTATTTAACTGTTGTATTTGAAACCAATATCTTTTTTTTGGTTCCATTGATAAAAGAACTAAAAAAGCATCAAATTTTAGCTTATTACTAATGAAAAGTCGCCAAAATGTTCATCTTTTTTTTAAAAATCCGCCTCGCCCCTCGAAAAAAAAAATTTAGATCCGCTTCTGATTGTACCGATTGAGGAGCTCGTTTCTATAAAATATTGGGTCTGGTTGAGAAAACTCTCTCGATGCAGTGCTGGCAAAAATTGTCACAATTAGACACTTTCACGGCAGAATTTTTGAACGTCATTAAATTAATCACAAAAGAACCTGAGATTTCTCAACATATTATTGTTAGACTAAGCATGTCTAGTGTAGTACTTACTACTCAATCCAAACGATCCACTGGCACATATCGGCGACTGAGATCTTTTCCGTTTAACTGCAACATCCGTTCTGCCTATTCCATGGTTCACCTTGCTAGCCCACAAATCATTCTGACTATGGCTGAATGCATTTTTTGAGTTACGTTGTTTCAATTTCTGGTTAAAGGAAGATATAATTGATCCATTCATGAATTCCACGAGCGAAAAATTTCCCGTGTCAACAAGTTCCGAGATTCTAAATGGAAAACATAGTGAGCATATATCAACAAAAACCAAGTTCGAATGCAACATTTTAATTGTAAAAATTACACCAACTGAGAGTCTGAGGTCTTGACATTAAATCCAGTCGTTCCAAAACAACCAATATAACGAGAGAAGTCCTGAAACACAAAAATACCATAAATGACTTGGGGTATAAATTTCGCTAAATTCTTCGAGAGTCGAATAATATAAATGAAATAGTAGATAACACTTCAGATATCAAAAAATTGTGTTTCCACGGCTTGAAAGCAGAAATAAGGCAATCAGACATAGCTGCACCAACACAATCAAGTAGGAAATGTATATCAGACAAATGCGCCACATTCGGCTTCAAAGAAGTCTCCAAAACATCGAAGTAATGATTGACATCTGAGATGGAGCTGGACCTCGGGGAGTCCAGAACATACACGACGTCCGCACTGAAGTCTCGAAACGAAAGGACAACAGAGCAAATTAAGTTTAGTTTGTCCTCTTGGGTTAAAGGTGCAGACTGTGTTTGCTTAGTGCCTTCTGAGAAGCCAGTTAACACGTTTTGAAAGGTCATGAAAATTTGGTCCGTCAACTCGAACATTCTAGAACAAAATGATTATATTTAAGGTTAAAACTACTTAGCAACCAAAACCTTGCCTCCTCTGAAACTCAGAGGGCCCTTTCACGTTTCTAATAAACTATCAAAAATATCAACATCACGGTCGGATTTTCGCGGGGGGGGGGTTGGTTATGGACGCTTCCCCTTCAGGAATTCGACCCTTTGGTATTATTTACCCTTCGACCCTAATGCCCTTTGGTATTATTTTATGACATCCATTTTAGGCCATCGAGCAAACCTTAAATTTTTCCGAAGGCGCTTTTGGTGCCAATACATATTAATTTTGAACGGGGAGCTTAGTCAGTTTTCCAAAAAAATTTCGAAAAAACGGTCTACGAAAAACGTTGAAAATCCGCCCCCCTCGAGAAAATCCTAGATTCGCCCCGAGCCAAAATTTTTAAAAATGCGCAGAGAAAAAGTCACCAGGATTTTGTACGGAACAAGCTAAATAATGTTCATCATATTTATTGATAAAATGGCTCTTTTCCAGTTCCCCCTTTCAAAATACCGAGTTTTATGTTTGTTTTACGTGTTATTACGACTAAATGCGTGATGTTACGCTGTAAAGTATGAAGAACAAATCGGTTCAGAATTGTCGATTTGTTTACCACACCAAATTTCATTGCATTATGACAACGTTAAATAAGCTTTTCAAAAATGTATTTGAAAGGGGGGGGGGCGAACTGGAAAAGAGCCGATAAAATATATCTGCACGCAAATTTCAGTCAACTACTTTTTCATTCAATCATCCATTCGACTCACCCGTCGTGTTTCGACCCCAGTAGAGCCACCCACAAATTCGCACTCTGGTCTTCAGTCAAGGCTGCCCTGGCCACAGCGGACAGAACAGACAAAGTAAATTTGTGTCCATTGGCAGATGCAAATTCAGGTGATATCACAAACAACATTATTGTCTCACAACTGAGACGACGACTTAGCTCAACGCAATCTCAACACAAACCTGAAAATGACGGAGATCACAAAACACAGGTCATCAAATTAATCAAATTTGGAGTATGATGCGACTGTTTGGTATCTCGTATCCCTCTTTTATATGTGGTAACTAAAGATTTAAAAACTTGGGTAACTTGGATTTAAAAAATGATCTAAAACAGGTCAAAATGACGTTTTAGGGCTTTTTTGGTAAGTACTGACCAAAAAAGGCGATTTTTTTCTGACGCCGCCACTGTTTAGAACTAATTTATTTGAGTTGCCTCTCAAAAGTCAGGAGAAGCCAGTTATCTACTTTCGAGGAGCAATCTCTTGAAAACATGTAGCTCATTGTCCTTTGATTACGACAAACTAGTTTTATCAAAAACCAATTTCCCTTTTGGATGTGAAATCCGAAGCAGCTAAAAACAGCAATTTTTAGGTCATTACTTTCGTCTATCTCTAATATAACAAACAAAAAACAACTATAAGAAGAAATTGCATCCAATTTGGAATGCTTGTACTCAGAGACAACCAAACAACGGCTTACATTCCAATCAGGAACAATATCACCAAACCGGATTGGTTTTACTATCATAACTGATTCAAAGTTTTATCGCATTAAAGTGTAAATCTTAATTTCTAAACTAGCAAAAAAATGAACAAAAGCGAAACCAGCAAAAAAACCATTGAAATTGCGCCAGAGCAAATCTTTCAAGTTCATCTTCAGAGCAAATCTTTGAGAAAACGAAAAAAAAGACTGACCACAACTTTTTTTGAAAATGACTGACCACAATATAAACACCTTTTAAAGAAATCAAGTTTTCGTAGCATAAAGAGCAATTTTCATGTAAAGAAGGTTAATCGAGCACTTTACTTGCTTGAAATTAGACTAACTCAAAAATTTCAAACCGGTTTTTCTCGACAGTGGGGACAAAACTTCCAATTTCAAAAAAAGTTTCTTAAACTGTTTTGAAATTCGAAGTTTTGTCCCCACTGTCGAGAAAAACCGGTTTGAAATTTTTGAGTTAGACTGTTTTTTGTTAAAACTAGTTGAATTTGAGAAAAATGGGATCGACAGGTAAAATTTTTCCACTGGCAAATCTCAAAATCAAAATCCATTTTCGAAATAAGATGTCGATTAGGTTTTTTCGCGTCCTTACCGTTTTCATAAATGGAGAGAGCTATTCGCAGATGAATTTGAATGGAACTCAAAAAGTTCATATATTCATAATTGCCTTCATAAATGCATTAATATGTATGAATGCACTTCGGAGTTATTGGAGTATTTAAGAGTCTTCACTACATTCGACTCGTAATGAGGAACGTATAAACATTCCATCGCAAGTATGACCGCTAATGCCAAACTAACGAGTATTTTTGAAATAGAGTATTTTTGAAATAACGAGTATTTTTGAATAAAACCAAGTCAAAATTAATCGGTAAAAAATTGAGCTGATTACTTACTATCACACTTTTGAAGAAACCAACTCTTCTTTATTTAAATATTTAAAAAACGACTACATACATCTAAAATATTAAGGCAGGTAAAAGCAGGTTTTATATTCTGAAATTCAGTGCCCGAGGTCTGAGGTACCAAATATGAAACATTAAGGATTTATACAGTTTGTTGTTGATCGAGAAAAAACCCTATTCCGTATTTATGAATCAGGTTATTTATAAAAATCATGATGTCAAAGCTGAAACTTTTTTTCAAAGATCACAAGATTGTATCTTCAACAAAGAAATCATTTCTTCCCGCAGTTTATATTCACACAAGTAAAACTGCAATTCGCAAACAAGAGCAAAAACGGCAAAAATCAACTTCAACAAAATTTAAAAACATCTGGGGAAAAAGTAGTTTTAAAAAATAAATAGAATCAGCCAACTTCGGAATTCGAACCACATCCACATTCCTCTTAACAATTCCATCATTTGCCTTTCCAATGAGCCATACTGATTGTGTGAAGTAACACACATTGTGAAGTGATAAATACGAGGCAGCAATAAGTTCAGCTTTGATAATCTGAGAAAACGCGTGCTGATAAATACTTTGCCTTATTGAACACCTTATTTTGCGATGCGTAGACATTTGTGTCTCGGACGATTGTGTAGCAGACAAAATAGTCCAAAAAGTTCATAAGTTCTGATTATGCGCTTTTATTCAAACTTAAGTTAATTCTAGTTGCGGAGACCTGGCCGCCATAGGCTAACCCTCATCAACTGACATAACAGTTGCCGTTTCAAGTTGAACAATTTTGAGACACAAGTGACTGGGAAAGTTTTGTCTGGGTATTTATGTCTTTCAGACAATTTTGCCTGGAAAACAACTGCCTGGGACACAACGTCTGGACACATAAAATCATATATGGTATAATAACACTGATAGCTGATTGCTGCGCAAGTAGCACAGAATATTCCAAACACACTGATTGAAAAAATAAACGTAGAAAAAAATTTAAAATCGAAGAGATTTTTTTGTCCAAAATTACCTATAATCATTTTTCTTTAAACATCGAGTAAATTTGGTAAAAACACAAACGAGCAATTTTAATAGCATAAAACAGAGGCAAAGCAAAGCTTCGAACCACTTGCTAAGGAAAAAACGTAGGTCTAGAAAAAAGTTTTAAAAAATCAGATTGGAAAACGTTGAAAAACGTTTTTGAAAATTAAACAAGCAACAAAATCCGTTTGAATCCAACTGACGTTTTAAACCTGCCAGATCAATGCAGAATACACGCGATGAAACTATTTGTAATCAACACCTTGATGAAAAAACGAATTCTGTTTTTTTTTTTCAGATAAGACAATCTACAATTACCGAACAATTTTTTATAATTTTGCAGGAATCAAAACTTAAAGCGTTTGCAAAAACAACAAACCATTGAAAATGACAATTACAAAACAATTGACAATATAATAATTAATTTTTTTGGTGTAAAAAAATAGCTAAAAAAACTTGAATCAAACAAAGATGTAGAAACAAGAACGAGACGCTGCTCAGAACAAACAAATCATTTTGAAAAGTTCTGAAGCCAAGAACAAACGCCGATTTTAATTCCTAAATAAAAAAAACTCCTGTCAGACAAAAACAAGTTTAAAGAAAAAGAAAGTTGAACGGAAACCCAATCGAAACCACAAATAAACTATTTTTGATTAAAAAACAACAAAGGCTTTTCATTGCACCATTTTAAAAATGAATGAGTCCGTAAACGTATCAATTTTATCTGGAAGTAAAAAATATAAGTATAACGTTTTTTTTAAGAGTGACAACAAAAAAAACTAAGAAGATATTTCAATAAAATTTTAACACATTGAAATTACTTTAAACGAAAGGAAAACAACAAGTTAATCGCGAAAAGTAGCAGACAGCAAAACTGCATTGACAGCGTTAAACAACAAATTCGTCAAAAATTTTGAGTTGATTTAAACTTGCTTGGTTCAAGCTTGCGTGGTCTTCATTTTTCAAATGAAATGGCTACCTTTTAAAAAAGGTCAGAATCCAATGAGTAAAAAATTCAAAATCAAATGTCAAAAAAACTTGAAAAATGTGGAAAATTAATGAGCTACTCCTTCTGCGCCAAGAAAATGGCGATAAATACAATAAATCGATCAACCAAAAACAACAAAAGTTTGAACCAATTCTGTTACTTGAACTGAGAAAAAAAAATAATTTGGTTTATTTTTTTTCTTCATTTTTTAAGAAATTACATTTCAAAATCAAAATTTCATTTGAAAATCAATCACTTCCACATAATACCGGAGAAACTTTTTACTAATTCCAAAAAGAGTTTTACATTCGTAAAATAAGCGGACAAAAATAAAGCCGACCTCGTACAGCCCCGAAATTCTACCAAAAATTTTCGGTACAGAAAAAAATTCGTAAAAAAATCAATATAGAAATCCAAAAACGATACATAATATGCAACTACTACATACTACACTTACCATGGTGCTATTGACATAATTACCATGTCGTCCATTCTGTGAACAAAGTTCTGTACTGGAAAAAGTCTAGTACACGATTGCAAAACCCTTGTTTATCGTAAGGGTAAATAACATTGAATAGCTAATTTAACGTATTATAATCAACATTTGAGGTCACCCTCTAATCAAATTCCATTCAGCCTTTATCTAATTTAGTCGGAACAATCAGAACCGTTTTTTCAACACTGAATACTTGAAAAAATTTGTCTCGGATTATTGCTGGAAGGGCGTCAATATTAAACCACTTGACCTCCATCAAGTTTGGTCAAAATGGGCAGTAAAAACAAACCCTACTCCATAGTTATTTACCGCCCGTTACTCAAAAACTGACGTTATTTAATAGAACGTTGTTTTGTGTAATGATAAAAGATCCTTTAGGGAAGTAAGTTTAAGCTTGACGTACACTATTTCCTCGCGTTTGGATCACTTTTGTGAATTTTGTAAAATTGATAACGATTGAAAACTAGTGCCTTCTTTTTAAGAGCAATTGAAATTCAATTCACATATGAAATGTAATAGCAAAGTCAAATGAACCAAGATAGTTCTTCTGTCACTAAAAATTCAAAAAAATAGCCATAAGACAGTTGGAAATTTGTCAATAAGCGCAAAATACCAGAAAAAATACAGAATTTTGTTTTGAAAACAACAACATTCGAACTTCAAAGAAAAAATTTATGCCCATAAATCTCTTTGAATTTCAAAAAAAATTATGATTGACACTTTTTTGGCTAAAATTAACTAATTTGAGAAAATTAGATAAGTAAATTTGTATTCTGCTGGGAATTATAAAAATCTAAACTCCTTTTCGAAACTAACTTCACGTTTCTCATGATTTTTACCTTTTCACTGTTTGATAGTGGAGTTTGCTTTCCTAATAAAGGGAATGAACGAAATCTTGAAAAAATAGAAATTGAAACGCTAAAAAAATCAAATTTGAGCGTGAAGAGATTTCAAGACTTTTCCTCATCACAACCTTTATAAATGAAAAACGGCCAATAGTAGCTCAAAAAAGCAAAACGAAAAGATATCAGGAAAAAAAG